AACAACTCTGTTTTATATTGTGAGATTCATACATAATTTTGTTAAAATGTCAACAACAACATTACTTCTCAGCCAACATAGGAATAAACACTTAAACAGATTTTAATTTTCATTGATTAACTAATTCACTGATTGTGTTTCCTCCAAAGAGCTCAAAATAAATTTAAAGACAAAAGAAATAACTGACCCTGTGATGGGATGCTCATTAAGACATCTGAAACAAACTCAGTTTTTAAATAATGGAAGAGGAAACCAAACCAATTTGTTAGATTTTTGTCTCCTAAAAAATATTAACACAGAAGTTCTGGAACCCAAATAAGTTGTGGAAGAAATCATTAAGTATGGCAAACTCAGCTATAAGAGACCTTTGTAAGCAATTTCTCAGAAAACAGCTGCAGGTATCTAGACATTTTCCAGGTTTCCTTGGGCTCGATTATATGGAAGATTTTTTCAGTGTGTGGAAATATCCACTCATAAATATGGCTATCTAACCCCAGAAACCTCATTTATTGTTATCCTAGATTTGGGTGAAAAAACATTTTGATCAGAATATTTTACTCTCATTCTAGTCAGATATCTCTATCTCTATCTCTCTGGATCTCTGTCTCTCTCAGGGAATTCTCTAATTAGGCTAAAGATTAATATTTAACTCAAAATACTTATGGTGCCTTTAAGAAGTATCCCTAGTAATTTAAAGGGAAAGGGTTTTCAATATATAATTGATACTATACTAAGCTGGATATTTTTAATGTGGAATTAATGCCGTTACATTTAGATTGTAATACATTTACAATGTAATTAAATTTGAAGACTTAAAGGGAAATTGCTGCTTTTTTATAGTAACACATTTGTAGCCCAGCAAAATGAACACAGTGCAGTTACATATACAAACTTAGCATTCATTGTACAGTGATTAAAACATTAAAAGACTATAACTGTATGTTTGAATCTATAGAATTCTGCATTGTCTTAAATGATTAAAATCCCTAGTTTAATATCAAGAAATTAAAATGTTTTGTGCAGAAAGGCATCATTATTCAAAAAATTTATTTCTTAATTCTGTCTTCTAACCACAAGATCAGTACACAGAAGAAATAGATTTTAATTTCATTTTGTTGTTATTTTTGCAGAAGCATTAAGTGAAATATCCAGTATATGGCCATTTTCATGAGTGAGTTATAAATCAACCATCATAAACTCCAGCAAGTATACATTACAAGATTTATAATTTTCAGGTCCTTTGAATAAAATACAACTGGTTTGTTATAGAAATTGTTACATCAAAGGATACTACCGGCATAAACTATGATCTTGATATGACACACAAGCCTATTTAAAAGATCAAGTACTTATGTATTATATAGTTATTGAATTTATTGTTTATTTAACACATTTCATCAAAAAACGTGCACCTTTTTCATCAAAAAATATGCCAACTTGATAGTAAAACACACAATCCATGATTCAAAAGGCAGCAATTTCAAACCATTGTCTTCAGTGGTCCTTGACATAAAATACTCCAAGCATAAATTCAACATTGCATGCAAAAACTGGCCCTGTGCTTTAAAACAAGTCATCACACTGTTTACATACGTAAAAGAAAGACAACTATATATGTATCATTTTCAAAAAATCCTAGGATGAAATATAATATAACTAAAGAAAATTTTTACTAGAACAGATTTTTCCAGAAAATTCAAAAGCAAGTAAAGACACTGGTAAGTAGAACTTTGTTACAGGAACACGTCTTGTGCATATATGAATATTTAACTTAAAGCTGTAACACGTGGGTCTAAATTGCAATGCATAAAATGTAAACTTTAACACATTCTAACCATAGGATTTTTAGCTTTGGATCTTTTTAAAACTATAAGACAACTCTAAAAACCCTAAATACCAGTCAAAGTGCAAAAGAGGTCCTTCAGAACATATCCCTTTGGTATATTATAGTCGCATAGATAACAAAATTAAATAAGAAAATAAACTATTAGTTAAAGAAGTAGGTGAAAATCTCTGATTATCTCTTCTCCTCTTTGGATTTTTGTTTTGTTCCTGAAAAGTTACAAACAAAATTACAGGTAAGGCTTTTACCTGTAAATGTTCAAAATAATTGATTTCCAGGGTTTTTTTAGGTGGAATCTGAATGCATGCCATGAAAAACCATACTTGGAAACAAAGTAACGCTGCACTTTTCACCTGTGGGGAATGGAAGGTGTAAAGATACTTGCATGAATGAGACAAACTATAAATGACCAAGTCCACCTCAGTCCTGAGGAAATTCTGTGAATGCCATGGGCAGCATAGGATCATTCTGAGTCTTGTGCTGTTTACCTGAAATATTTTTAAGAAATATAATCTAGTCACACCACCAAAGGAAATCTTAATTTTAAGTCTATTAATTCTCCTTTAATTCAAGGGGAACTTAGTTTCCTTGAGTTACTCAGAGCAGCATCTACAAAATAATGAAGAAAGATATTAATATTCAAGTGACTTTTAAGACCAAAAATGTTGCCTATGCTATGATTTCTAACACTAATAATAATGTACAAGATGGAATCAGTTAATTTAAGGGAAAATGTGACTCATTACAGCTACATAATTGGCTTTTGAAAGTATTCCAAATATTAGCCTCTTAGATTTTATCTTATTCTAACAAGTATAAATGTGTAACATTGTAAAGTGCTTGATTCAACATATGCAATGTTTCTTTGTATTTGTTTGATACTCTTCTTTTCTGGTTAGTGTTTTCTCTGCCCTACATAAGAAATTGTTAATCACTTAGCCATGAATATATTGCCTTTTTGGTTTTATAAGTTTTATTATTCTAGCTTTTATATTTAGGTCTATGATCCAACTCAAATTAATTTGTGTGTATGGAGTGCGGTGGAGGGATGGAGGTTCATTACTTTTTCTAGATGGATATCTAGTTGCTCCAGCACCATTTGATTAAACAACCTTCCTTTTCCCATTTAGTTGACTTGGCACCTTGATTGGATGTTAATTGATTATATATATGTGTGTCTACTGAAATCTCTATTTTTCTACATGACACTGTATTTACTGTAGCATTATAGGGTATTGAAATCAGGGTATGTAAGTCTTCCAAATTTTGAGATTCTTTTTAAAATTCTTTCCCTCTCTGTGTACATTTTAGAGTAAACTTGTCTATTTTTTTTTCCAAAAGGGCCTGCTGAGATTTTGATTGCATTAACTCTACAGGTCAATTTGGAGATAATTGACTTTTTAACAACTTTGAGATTTCCAATTCTTGAACATGGTATACTAGTATACCATGGGTCATTTTAAATGTATCTAAGCAATGACTTCTGATTGTCAGTATAAAAGTCTTAGATGTTTGTTGTTAGACTTATTTTTATTTCATGTTTTATATTACCAATGTAAATGGTATTATTTTTTTAAATTTTATTTTTAACACTTTGTGGTATGATATAGAATTAAAAATTACTTTGTATGATGACTTTGTATACTTGGCCTTATAAAATTCATTTATTACTTCTAGTAGGGTTTTTTGTGTGTAGATACCTAATGATTTTATACATATAAATGATCTGCTAAGCACAAGTGTAGCCTCTTCTTTTCTAATCTTTTTGTTTATCTTTTTATTTTGAATTATGGCACTGGCTAGGATTTCCAGTATCAATGTTGACTAGAAATGGTGAGAGTGAATAATATCCTTGGCTTCTTCCAAATCTTAAAAGAAAAGCTTTCAATATTCTATCATTAAGTATGATGTTAGCTGTGGTTTTTCACAAGTGTACATTAGCAGGTTGAGGAAATTCACTTTATTCCTAGTTTGGTGAGACTTTTTATCATGAATGGTATAAAATTTTGTCTGGTTCTTTTCTGCATTTATTGAAATGATTACATAAATTTCCCCTTCATTATGTTAATATGGTGAATTACATTGAATTTTAAGTGTGTAATACAAGTATTTAAAGATATACATTTTCTACCTTCCTTAGCTGCATCCACAAATTTTGATATGCTCCATTTTCATCCAACTTGCAATAATTCTAATTTATCTTGTGCTTTTACTTCTTTGTCCCATGTGTTTAGATTTATGTCATTTAATATCCAAATTTTAGGGATTATTGATTGCTAATATAATAAAAACAAATAAAAAGTGACTCTATTTGTGGGGTTCCCATGTGAGCCAATATTTATATTGAGCCCTATCAACCTTAGATTTTATTTTATGTCATAAATGAAATTTGGAACCAAATAAGTTATTCCTGGTCTAATAGATCCATCTAAACACAATGTATCATTACCTGGAATTCAGATACAAATCCAAAACTAGAAATTCAAAGGAAAAATGTACATATAATAATAATAATCTTGTTCACACACAAGTTCAAAAACAAGTCTGTTTTCTTTTTGTGTGTGTGCTGCCTTTTTATAGACAGCTCAGTATCACTCGCTGTGAAAATCTACAAAAACATTGGTTTGTATACAGAAATTTTATTTGAAAGAGTTTTTTTAAAATAGAAATGAACATTAGATTAGTTCTCATTGCTTCATACTGCCTTCATATATCAAATCTTGTATACAGATACAGAGAAGTGTGCGTGTGTGTGTGTGTGTGTGTGTGTGTGTGTGTGTGTGTGTGTATAGCAGAAACCTACCATAAGGAAAGAACATATTCTGTGAACTGAGTAAAAACACACTGGTAAAGCATTCTTGGATAGTAAAGCTTATACCTTAAAAGTATTTTATCAGTATTTAGTTCTGAAGGATCTCTTGTAAGACACCACAGTATCGGAAACTTTCAAACTTATCAACCTCGTAAGAAAGGGTTTAACATGTTTATTAAATCCTAGCTAACATAGTAGGCTTGCAACTTTATTTCTAAGTGCAAAGAGGTTCTTACCCTATGCCAATTGCATACTTGGTAAAACTTTAAATTTTTTAGCCTTTAAACAAATAGTATACAGTCTGTTCATATTATACCTGTAAATTTGGCATTCTGAAACCTATAGTCACCGATTTAAATCTTCAGACTGTCCCCTGGAATCAGGTCTTCTTTTCTTCTGTTTAGATTTTTCACCAACCTAAATAATACATTAATTAGTAGCCAACAATGGTAATATAAGCTAATAAAAAAACAAAGACATTACATTGCATTGCAGCTCAAAATTTCACAAAGCTATTGCACATATTCAAAGACCTTCATGACACTGTTCTTGAGTCTTTTGAGTAACCTACAAAGGACTGAGGTTACTAGCAAAAGTGGTTATTATTTTAATGATACATCATTAATTTTCACCCTCCTATGTATACTCTTCCATCTTTAGGGTCAGAGTGCATGGTCAATGTAGCACTTCAGTTAAAATTATTGACACAATAAAATAATAATTTCATATAAATTTTCTAAGATTTATGGGAGCTTTAGTCACAGTCCTCTTCCAAACAATATTCCTTTTTGCTTTGGGTTTTCTAAAATTAAACAGTATATTTGGCAGAACTATCTTTGTAATTGGTGCTAAATGAAGTCAAATGCATGATAGGATAAGACTAAAAAGTCAATATTTGAACTGATAGAGAAGTGTGACTATGTTGTAAAGGAGCAGAGCATAATAGGCATTCATTTAAAATGTGATTTGATGAATGAATTAAATTACCACATGTAATGCGATCTATAGCCATTACAAAGCCAGATGTATTAGCTAATGTCTGAGCAAAAGGTAAACCACAAAAACATGCAGACTCATAGCATTTCATTCTTTCAAAGCATATTTCACTCACCAAAGGTTAACATTCCTTTCAGTGAGCTATATAGGCATGGCTGAAGCAATGAAAATGAAACACTAATAAGAAATGTGATATTTCTGCTTCTTAAGACTGTATAATAAAGATACAAGTAAAGCAGAACATTTGATTAGATACCCATGTGCCCCAGGCGGAGGTCATCACAGGCATGGAGAACACACATACCATTGACCCTCAGCATCTTCATGGAGAAGCTGAATGACATCTCCATTTTTAATCAGGAGGTCTTCTGAGCCTCTTTTTCTGCAATCTGTTAAGGCTTTATATTTGCCTGCTGACTGAAAGGTTGTTTTGAAAAATTACATTATAAACATGATTGCAAAACTACTTGCACAACTGCATGCTCTGTGACAAACAATTAGCACAGTACTTCAATGGTAAATGTGATAGCTGCAGCAGCTTTGCAGGAACAAACAAACATAAAGCAGTTTGTGATGGGGGGAAAAAGCGGAACATGTGCTTATTTAGCCTGAAGAACTCACTTTTATTTGCAAAAAGAGAGTTACACCATGAACTACACAGAAAATAACAGAGCACAACTAATTTAAGTTACATTAATCATAAGCATATATCCAGGAAAAAAAGAAAATTAAAATAATTTTAAAATACTGTTATTTGCAATCTGCTCTCATGAAAAATTTATCTTGGCACATACAAAAGGCAATTGCCCTGAACAAAGATTTGCTTATGCCCCCAAAAGGATTTCTAGGCTTTATACTGCTTGGCACAAGTAAAAATAATGGGTACAAAAATCTCTGGGTCCGATAGAAGCAGATTAAATGTTGTGCTTTACTTGACATTAATCTTTTTGCAGCTTTATATATTTTTTAAAGAATTAAGGTGTGTGTTTTTTATTTTACAGAGAGAGGAAGAGGGAGAAAGAGAGAAACATTAATGTGAGAGAAACATTGATCAGTCGCCTCCCATACACACCCCAACTGGGGATCAAGCCCATGACCTAGGTATATGCGCTGCCCAGGAATCAACCACCAACACTTCAGTGCACGAGACAATGCTCAACCAACTGAGCCACAGTGGCCAGGGGTGCAGCTATATTTTTAACTTGATTCATTAATAACCTAAGTAATCCAAGGCATACTGATTACATTTGGTTACAAAGCAGATTAAGAAGAAATAATATATCTCATGTCCAGATGTATTCCAAGATATTTCAAGCACAATATCTTACACACTGAATACATGATTTTAAAAAGTAAGAGGACCATAATTAATTTTTAAGGAAAGAAAAGAAATAACTGTGATGTCGAGTCTTTGCACATCCAAAGGAATTAACTTAAAAACAATATCCACATCACTTGGGATGAATGTCTTTTGAGCAGTATTTTTACCAAATGGGCTAAGGAGCAGACAGGAAAGAGCTACTTGATATTTAATAAAGTAGCTTCATAAAAATAGGAGAGCTAACCCCAATACCAGCTCTATGAGAAAAGCAGCACCCATTAGTTCTGACTTTTTTTCATTTTATAAAGTGAGGCTAAAAGAGAAGCTCATTGCAACCCATTTTGCTTTGGTGGAGCCTTCTTTTTTGTATGCATTTAACTATTTTTGTATGATTTTCTCAGTAGCACACCTTAGGGAATTATTGGGAGAAGAGGGAAACTAATAGGTTTTTCTACATTTCCATCCCCTATGATTAAAGCACTAATCAGTTTTGCATATTTGCTTTATTTTCTGACACTATAGGTGGGGAAACGCTTACTGAAGATGTTATCAGTTCTTGACAATCATCCCCTCATAGATTATCTACAGCAAATGTTTAAACCCCAAGTGGCTTCCCCTGACTTTTCACTTGCATCTGAACAACTACCATCCTTAAGCAGTATTAATTAAAGAAATGGAAGTTATTTTTATTATTAGTCTAAACCAGTGGTTCTCAGAGTTTAGGAGATAGACCTTTGGGGGTTCCTGACACCCTTCCAAGGGTTTGCAAGGTCAAATCCATATGAAGACATTATTTCCCTTTCACTCTTATCCTCTCACAAGTATACAGTAGTAGAGTTTTCTAATAACTACCTGATGTATGATAGCACAACAGACTGAATGCAAAAGCAGACTAAAGAGACTTGCAAAAATATTTTCTAACTAAATCTTGTGTTTTGGAAAATGTAAATTTTTAATAAAATGTTATTTAAATGAACTTACAATGGGTTTATTAATATTTTTAAAGAGTGAATAAATAACTATATTTCTTAGTTTTAATTTATAATCTGATAAATATCAATAAATGTAAACAAGGACTCTTTGGGATTCTCAATAATTTTTAAGAATGTAAAGAATTCTTACTTTAAAAAGTTTGAGCACTTATGGTCTAGACAATTAACTCTAGACAAATCTCCCAGCAACACTGAGCCTCAGCTTCCGCCTCTGTCCATTAGAGGTAATAAAGCCTGCCCTTCCTCTTAATAATACTATGAATATTAAATGGGAAATATTGTAAACTGTAAACTACTGTACATCTATGATTATGGTCACTGTATTATTAGCAGAAAGAATATTCTGTTACTTTTTTGAAGAAAGCATTCAGGTCAATGCTCTTCAGCTTTGTGGTTATCCATGCCACTATTCCCATATCTCAATGTTAAAACTGCCAAACTGATTTTGTTGTTCTGAAGGGCATCAAGCAGCAGTCCATTACAAAGCATCATTCCAACCCTCCAAGCTGGTGACTTCAGAAAATTGGAGGTATACCCTAGTCCTAACATCCCTCTAATAATCCACTAGGATCGTAACAACATTGCAAACTACTTAAATAGCAAAAGTACGTACAACACTTACTTTTACCTTAAAGCAACCTCCTTTAGTTTTAGGGGGTGACCTCTTGCTCCAATATGCTGACATTTGGTATCATTAGCACATTTTTTAACACCCCACTAAAATATATTCCCCAAATATTATTAATGTGTAATGTTTATTTCCTCTATTTTCCAATCTGGAATCTAAACTTATTTTTTTTAATTTCTTTATTGATTAAGGTATTACATATGTGTCCTTATCCTCCCATAACCCCCCATCCCCCCCCACTCATGCCCTCACCCCCCTGTTGTCTGTGTCCATTGGTTAGGCTTATATGCATGCATATACGTCCTTTGGTTGATCTCTCCCCTTACCCCCACCCTCCCCTACCTTCCCTCTAAGGTTTGACAGCCTGATCGATGTTTTTCTGTCTCTGGATCTGTTTTTGTTCTTCAGTTTATGTTGTTCATTATATTCCATAAATGAGTGAGATCATGTGGTATTTATCTTTCTCTGACTGGCTTATTTCGCTTAGCATAATGCTCTCCAGTTCCATCCATGCTGTTGCAAATGGTAAGAACTCCTTCTTGTTTACCGCAGCATAGTATTCCATTGTGTAGATGTACCACAGTTTTTTAATCCACTCATCTGCTGATGGGCACTTAGGCTGTTTCCAAATCTTAACTATGGTGAATTGTGCTGCTATGAACATAGGGGTGCATATAAAGTATATTTGACCCTTCTTTGTTCTTTGATTTTATCTCACATGCCTTGGTTGAAAACACAGTGGTGACGTTTAATTAAAGATGAAACTGCATGTAAGCCTAACCAATGGACACAGACAACAGGGGGGTGAGGGCATGAGTGGGAGGGATGGGGGGGTAATGGGGATAAGGACACATATGTAATACCTTAATCAATAAAGAAATTTAAAAAAAGATGAAACTGGTCAATGTATAGAGACTTGGAATAGATGACTATTCATCTCATCAACTTCAGTAGGAACTCCATGTATAGCACAAATAAGTTCTACTTACAGAGCAAAGTACTTATTGAATATTCATAATTGTTTTAAAACTTTAGGCCGTGGAATACACCACAAGGATACTGACAAAAGAATGTCCCTACATACTTCACCTATTTCATCAGTAAAACTGCTTTAAGAGTTTCTATTTATTTTAATTTGTCATTACTCACCAGTAGGGTTCTTTCTTCTCCACTGTCAACATAGGAAGAGGAAAAATAGTTGTTTGACCATGACTCAGGGCTTTCAGAGATTTCTTCAGTCCAAACTATAAGAAAAACATGGGAGGTGACAGTTACTTAATGGTGTTGGTCCATTGAAAAATGTAAATGCAGGAACAAACAAAGGAGAGAAGTAAAATTTACTATAATAAGCAAGTCTACAGTGGTCCAAGAATAGTATCTCCCTATAATAAAACCTCCAATTAGATTGCACTGTTTTAGAATTGCTGATATTTCAGAAATATCACCTCTTTTACTTATTAGGATGGTTTCAAGTTGGGGTTGGTGAGAGAGTTATTAAAAATAAATTAGCCCTAGCCAGTTTTGTTCAATGGCTAGAGTGTTGGCCCACAGAATGAAGGGTTGCAGGTTCAATTTCAGTCAAGGGCATGTACCTGGGTTGCAGGCTTGATCCTGGCCCTGATCAGGCCGTGTGCGCAGGAGGCAACCAATTGATGTGTGTGTCTCTCCCCTCTTTTTCTCTCTCCCCCTCCCTTCTACTCTCTTTAAAAATCAATGGGGGAAAATATCCTTGGGTGAGGATTACCAAACAAAATAAAAATAATAAGTTAAATAATATTCTAGAGAATATTTACCCCTTCTTATAGAAAATAATCTCTTCCAAAATTATTTCCTGTAGCCTTTTTATTGGTCCATTCAATTAGCACTTATATCATTATACCTAGTAATATTTTTTACTTATCTTATCTCTCTTATTAAGCAGAGACTATGTCATATAAGAGCCTTGCATGTTAAGATACAAATTAAGCAATCTAATGTAGGCAGAGAATTAACAGTATCACAACTTGGCCACACTAAACTGTTCATGTAATCTTATAACAGTAATGTCAACTTTCTCTGTCTTGGTTTCTACACCTGTCGAATGAAGGCATTGGTACTAGGCTCTCTCTTGACTGCTCTGGGGGCTATAGCACAAATGAGCTGATGGAAGTGACCTTTAAATGGATAACTGAAAGTTGAGCAATGTTATCATTACTTGTTTTTCCTCAACTAGTAGAGATTAGGAACCATCATTATTACTGCATATCAGGCAATCTGTTAGGCATTTCTCCAGGGAGGTCTATGCTGTTGATCCCACAGTTGTTCAGGTGACCCTGCTGGATGCTTCTGTAGCACCTTGTACTTCCCTTTCAAAATACTTTTCTCACTTAATTTTAATTGCTCCTTGAATTATCTTTCTTTCTTCCTAGCTTCATGGGGATGGCAGTTGAGTATATCTTAAACTTTATGCCCAGGGCTTTACACAATTCCTGGCACACAGACTGTGCTATATTTGATGAATTAAACAAATGGTTTGAAATCAGTGTAAATAAAACAATTTGCATTAAAAACTATTCCAGGTATAAATGACTCTATCCGTTAAATCTATGGCAGTTAAAGTGTGCATTCCTTTAAGCCAATATGTGTTTTATTCATCTTTCTATCTACACTGTGTAGCAGGGGTTTCCAGACTTGAAAATGCATCAGAAACACTCACATGGAGAACTGTACATCACAGATGGCTGCTGCATTTTACTCCCAGGATTTCTGATTCAGAATGTCCCGGGCAGAGTCAGAGAATTCGCCTTCCTTACAAATTCCCAGGTGATGCTAATGCTCTTGATGCAGGGACTGCACTTTGACAATCACTGCTCTGCAGTGCCCACCAGCATCTTGCAATCCAAGGCATATAAGCCTTATAAAAATATTTTAATTTAGTTTTCTTTATACAAAGATAATAGATGTGTAGATTTTCAAAATGAACAATGAGAGAAAAGAATCTGCACAATCATGAATCTTACCTCTTGATGACCATGACACATACCTGTATTTGCTTCTGCCTGAACTGTCGAAGTTGCCTCATGGACCCCTACCACAGTGCTGGTGTGCTCTGATTTAGTTATCTCAGGAACTATAAAAGCTTGCTGTTGCCTTCTGAAATAGTAAATACATAAAGATAAGTGAGCTTTTACATAGTCAAAGAATAATTAGAAATTAAAAACGGTATTTGTTCTACTGATACCATGTGTCAAGAACATACTCTTGAGAATCCATTCAAACAGAGCTAACTCTCCCTCATGTAAGTCTGTGTGGTAATAGTTCATAACATATAAAAATTTAAATCCTAGGATCCAAACCAGCAAGGTCTCTCTTTAATATGCAAGGAAAAAAATTACTCCCTTCTTGACCAAAAGCAGGTATATTGCTTAAAATCCCCATAGTATATAATACTGTATATTTGAAATTTGCTAAGAGGTGGATCTTAAATGTCCTTACCATACACACACACACACACACACACACACACACACACACACAAAGATAACTGTGTGAGGCAATGGATATGTAAATTAGCTTAACTATGGTGAATATTTCACAATGTATATGTACTTTAAATCCTCAAATTGTACTCTTTAAATATATAAAATTTTAATTGTCAACCATAACTTAATAATGTTGGAAAAAATAAAAACAAAATAATCCCTGTTGCTCTGTGAACTTTTAACCTTAATCAATTAAATAAGATGTATGTAAATGACAAAACTTTACTCTGATTAATACTGTTGACTTTTATCAGCTAATATAAAGTTAATTACTACATGAAATCTAAAGACTTCTATAATATGACAAAAGATTGAGTATTGTGAAGATAAAGACTTCCGCTGTGACTTTTAAATGTTTCTCTTAAAGCTCCAGATGAGCCAACATACTTTGCACCTGTTTTTAGCTACCTCTGAAAGATATGATGCAACAAAGAGAAAAGGTATTATTAATAAGTCATTCAATGATCCCTCTATCAGTCAGAGGATGCATGGTGGATTGGATTTCTGTGCCTAGGCTTTGGCATCAGTGTGGTGAATCTTTCTGCATATCTGTAAATGTTCTGTGGAAACTCCATTTTTTAGGATTCCTAGAGGCAAAATACAAGGGCCGCATCTCTAAACCAGCACTCATCAGTGCTATCTTTTTTTACTGCTACCTTCCTCAAAGACTTCATGATTGTGTCCAAGCATGGATCCCTCCAAGGACCCATACCTCATCTCTAACTACATAGAAAGAGAGACCAAGTCACCAGCAAATGGTTTCCATCTGGGACCACAAAGCTGTGGGCCAGTAGAGGCTGCCAATCCTTTACCATTCTTAAACTCTCTTTCTCTGATGAGATTGAAGATGTCCAAAAATACATTGAAGAGAAATCCATGCATGCAGCCACTGTTATGGTAAGCCTACCTGCCAGCTCCCCTCCACCCCCAATATACTGAGAACAAAGTATTTGTAATTGTGTTTGGCCCAAACTATTGTATTATTTTTTAACATCAAGGGGAACAATTAAATAACTATTAAAGACTATCAGTCTCCAAGTATAAGGACAGAACTGAGAAAAAGGTGTGCTTATGGAATGTGATGTGTTATTGCTAAAAGGGCAGGTAGTTTTTGTCTGAGATGCTTTAATTACATTGCTTCATGTTACATAGGGAAAATAAAAGATTGTGGGAGTAATGTTTCTTAAAGAATAACAACTTACTCATCATTCTGTTGAGAAGAAAGCTGGTCCTGTTCAGTTAACTGATTACGCTGCTGTTGTTGTTTAACTGTGGAATAAAAGAAAGTTTATATAAGCAACATTCAGAAGCCACACTTCTTCCTTCCTTGAAGACCAATGACTTGCATGCGTGCACACACACACCCATTCCCATTAAACTTCACAGACTTGAAATAACCAGAGAAAAAAAACCAGTCTGAATTTGGAATATGAGAGAACTGAAAAATTTAATATTTCATTCAAGAAATTTGAGGAGAACCAAGATGGCGGCATAAGGTATATATCTATACGTGCCACACCCCACAACCACATTAAAACTACAACTAAAAGACAAAACGGCTATCATCCAGAATCACGGGAAAGCTGGCTGAGTGGAAGTTATACAACTAGAAGGAAAGAAAAAAGCACATTTAGACTGGGTAGGAGGTGCAGAGTCGCCAAGAGCAGAGGTACAGAGGCGCATGAAACGGGCTGCAACTGGGTGCACAGTATTTTTCAATCGGAAGGAAGATACAAGCTCCTGACTGCACTGAACTTGTTTCTGGCGAGACTCTGGGGATCCACACTCCTATGGGGAGAAACTGGACTGTCTGCCAGTGGATCGGAAAGTGAGGGTGGCTTTCTCGCAGAGCTGCTCGCAGGGATCATTGTTATTGTGGGGGCGCGGGACTTGGGGACTCAGGGACGCGGAGACATGGAGGCACCAAGAAGCAGAGATGCGGAGACGCGGAGAGACGCGGAGACGCGGAGACCTGGAGACGGCGGACGGCTGACGGCTGACGGCTGATGGCTGACGGCTGATGGCTGACGGCTGATGGACAGCCATCGCTGTTTGCTCCACCTGGGTGATTCTCTGAGACCATGCCCCACCCAATTCACAACTCCACCCAAGCTGTGCACAGCGGCACAAATGAATTATCTGTCCTTTCGCAGCCTAACCTAACAAACTGCAGCTGGGTCAGAGAACTCCAAAACTTCCAAACCACAAACAAAAAGGAGAAATCTGCAGATCTTGCTGTAGCTCCTGCTGGGTGGACTCACACAGTAGCTGACTTTGCACCTCCTCAGAGATCCAGAAGCCAGTATACTCAGTGGTCAGATACCAGATTTCAACTCCTCACATCCATAAGTGACACACTCAAGAGGCAGACTCAGTGAGCACCAAAGCCCCACTGAAGCAAGTCCTGCCCCCATAAGGGTGTCTCCAGCACAGCAGTTCTTCCACTACAGACACAGCGTGTCCTCGCAGTCAATTGGCCTGGAGGTTATTTCCTCTCAGGGATACCAACAGCAATCAAGGCTTAAATACAACAAGACTGTGCACCCAGGGGTGCACCAAGAGTGTCCACCTCAGGTGATTGGGGAGGCTGAGCCACTGGGCCCAATAGGACACCTACCACACAAAGCCACTCAATCAACACAGGGAAGCAGCCAAAATGCAGAGACAAAGAAACATGTCGCAAATGAACGAAATGGAGGAAAGCAAACTACTGGATGTAGAGTTCAAAACCACAGTTATAAGGTTACTCAAGAATCTTCTACAAATCTCCAAGGAACTTAGTGAGACCTTCAAGGATCTTTTTTTAAAATATTTTATTGATTTTTTTTCAGAGAGGAAGGGAGAGGGATAGAGAGTCAGAAACATTGATGGGAGAGAAACATCGATCAGCTGCCTCCTGCACACTCCCCACCGGGGATGTGCCCGCAACCAAGGTACATGCCCTGAAATTGAACCCGGGACCTTTCAGTCCGCAAGCCAACGCTCTATCCACTGAGCCAAACCGGTCAGGGCATCCTTCAAGGATCTTAATGAGAATGCCAAAAAAATGGAAAAGAACCAGTCAGAAATTAAGCATACACTGACTGAAATAAAGAATAATATACAGAGATCCAATAGCAGACTAGAGGATCCCAAGAATCAAGTCAAAGATTTGAAATATGAGGAAGCAAAAACCACCCATCCTGAAAAGTAAAAAGAATCCAAAAATATGAAGATAGTGTAAGGAGCCTCTGGGACAACTTCAAATGTACCAACATCCGAATTATGGGGGTGCCAGAAGAAGAGAGAGAGCAAGATATTGAAAGCCTATTAGAAGAAATAATGACAGAAACCTCCCCCTACCTGATGAAAGAAATAGACTTACAAGTCCAGAAAGCACAGAGAACCCCAAATAAGAGGAATTCAAAGAGGACCACACCAAGACACATCATAATTAAAATGCCAAGGGCAAAAGACAAAGAGAGAATCTTAAAAGCAGCAAGAGAAAAACAGTTACCTACAAGGGAGTACCCATACAACTGTCAGCTGATTTCTCAACAGAAGCCATGCAGGCCAGAAGGGAGTGGCAAGAAATATGCAAAGTGATGAATACCAAGAACGTACAACCAAGACTACTTTACCCAGCAAAGCTATCATTCAGAATTGAAGGTCAGATAAAGAGCTTCACAGACAAGAAAAAGCTAAAGGAGTTCATCACCACCAAACCAGGATTATATGAAATGCTGAAGGGTATTCTTTAAGAAGAGGAAGAAGAAAAAGGTAAAGATAAAAATTATGAACAACAAAGCGACAACAAATACATATCTATCAACGAGTGAATCTAAAAATTAAGTCAATAAAAAAATATGATGAACAGAATAAACTGGTGAATATAATAGAAGCAGGGACATAGAAAGGGAGTGGACTGACAATTCTTGGGGGAAGGGGGTGTGAGGGGTGCGGGAAGAGATTGGACAAAAATCTTACACCTATGAATGAGGACAGTGGCGGGGGGGTAAGGGCATGGGGTGGTGTGGGAACCAGGTGGAGGGAGCTATGGGGGGGAAAAGAGGAACATTTGTAATAATCTGAACAATAAAGATTTAGTTAAAAAAAAGAAATTCGAGTATATTACTAGAACCACCCTTACCCCAACATTGCCAAACACTGATTACTTGAGGTCCTAAACAGTTGCTTCATGGTAAGGACTCAGAATTAACACAGTGAGTTTGATATGTTATTTCACAACTACTTCTTAAGCACTAGAGTTCATTTTCTAGTGTAAAGTTCATTCTCCAAAATAGTTTAAACAACCCCATGAGTCTTGATCTCTTACTAGTTTAACAAGCCCTTTCATTACAAATAGTTTAAAGTAAATATCATTCCCATTCCCTATAAAAATTATCACAAAATCTGAGTCAATGAACTTTACTATACTTCTTGTTTTTAAAAAAATACTGGCTTAAATTTACCTGTCAGAAGTTCTTGTTGCTTCAATAAAATATTTCTTATTTCTTTTAACCATATCATCTTCACATCTATATTTGAAGCCTAAAGATTTTTAAAAGGGGGAAGAAGAAGACATGTTTCTTCTAAAAAAAGATACTTTATATTAAACCAATGCAATTAAGTTTATCAAATATGAACCGGAACAGGAGTCCTGAACCACCATATTCAAACTAACATTTTGATTCTTCAAACTTCTAAGAAGCAAATAAGCAACCATCAAATTAGATGAAATAATGGTCAAAACCATTTTGAAACTGCCTTTAAATAATAACATTCATACTAATTAGGAAATATAATATCAGTTATTTTTCTTTGTAGGAGGGTTCTTTTAAAATATAAATGTTTTGTTTAATTTTTGTAAAATAAAACAAGTCCTACTGTTTCTGAAAAGACAAAATAGATTACTATTGCAGAGTAATCTTGATAACTGATGGCAGCAAGCAAGCTTCCTTAAATATCCTCCCTTTACTTAAAAGATATATTTGTTTAAAGATAGCAAGAAGTCTTATAACTAAAGCCAAGAAAACATATTTTTATGAAATTATAATCATCTAGTACAGAATTAAAACAAAGAAAAAGCACTGGGCACTTTAAACAGATAACATCATGTTCACCTGTCACAAGTTGTGATACAAATAATTATTGAAATTACAACATACTCTTGAAATGTTCTCATTCCTCTACCCTTCACTCAAACAGGTTGGACCTTACAGCATATCTGGCCAGAGATTTAACCATAGTCTTCAGTAACACAGATCAAGTGTCTATGGTCACATTGCTCTGTCTTGTAATCAGGTACTCTACTCTCTGAGTGCCAAGCACAAGAGGAACTCAGAACTGTTATGAATTTGTAACTCTAGAAACCTGATGGGGAAAGAGAAGCACCTGCTAAGCTCTTGGCTATCAGCTATAGTTGATAAATCTCCTAGTGAAGTTTTGTGAAAACTTAAAGCCCTAGAAAGCACCATAGGCATGCGTCGTTTTAAAAAAAGCCTGTTACTGAAAAAATGTTTACCCATACCAGAAAAAAATAATAACTAAATAATATTTAAGTGACCTATATGAAAGGAATGAGACATTTTATAATGTAACCAAAATGATTTTTAGAAAAAATTTTAAATTACCAACCTGGACAATATAAATTTCTTCTTTCCCAGCATACCAGATTTCAAACTTGCGGTTATCTCCTTTTACATATTCAGTGATTCCAACTTCATCCATCTATAATATATAAGTCAAAATTTTCATGAGCATTTTGAATACGAAATTACATTAAATCTACCCCCATCATATTCTAAATAAAATTTATCACTTGGGCAAAATACACATTTTATATTCAAAAAATATGAAATTATATGAAATGATATTTCAATCACAGACCTGAATATTTAAATGTTTGCAGTGAACTATGCACTTATTGTGCAAATTGCATGCCCCATTCCAGTGATTGAACCAAAGGTTATATATCTGAACATTCAAGTAGTCCATCTAAGATTGAATTCTGTTATAAATTAACTGTATACTCTGAAAACAAATTATGTCCAAAAGAAGTAAAAGTAAGCAACATCTGTGTTAAAAGGTCATCCAACATTAATTTAAATAGTTATTTTTAACAACTATTTTACAAAATAAGTTAATCTTACAACTTATTACTTATCTCTATAGAAATCCTATAAGTTACAAACATCTGATTTATGGGGTATGGGAAAACCAGCCAGGTACACAAGGAGTCCCTCCAGTTCCACCATTCTCTCAGCCTTTCTAGAAAACAAATAATCTGTCATGGGAGAATGATGTCTTTTTATAGCCAGTAAAATTTTTATATATAATATCCATTCCTTATCACAGTTTTTCTTGTCCTCCATATGATTGTGCAAAGCACAATATATTCCATTTTCATTCATTCTGTGCTGCTAATAGCACTGTTAATTCCATTTTGAGCAATTTTACTCCCTTTTACACACATTCTTCTTTAATCCCCTTCTCCGTTCTCTTTTCTTTCAATTCTTGCCCAGTTATCTAAAAGGAATATCTTACTTTCTGTTCCTTTTATGAGCCCTACAAATGACCCTAGTTAGGGCTGATAAGCATTCAAAGTAATGCTAGTGAGATCTCCATATCAAAGAAAATAAAAAGGATTATACTTAGAAATGAAATGTGACATATAAATGAAAGAGCCTGTGGCATCTACCCTGAATGTAGTCAGAAATTACTTTCTCAATGTCCAAAAATATCTTTATATTCCTATTCAACCACTCTAACCTACTTTTGCTTAAACATCAGAATTTAAAGTAATAATATCATATTCAATGTCTATTTAAATTGACTTCGCTTCAATACATTACTTTGTCCCAATAGCATGATAAGATGGAAAGCACAAGGGCTTTGGAGTCCAAGAGGCTGGGATTGGAATTGCACCTCTACCACTTAATAGTTATGTTTCTTGCTGCAAGTTGCTTAACCTTTCTGAACTTGAGTTTCCTCAACTATAAAATGGGGAGAATACCTATTGCATAGAGTTGATATAGGATTAAATAACAGGCATTAAATGCTTTGGTCATACAATGAGCTTTGTAAAGTATGAGTTTGCTTTCTCAACTTCGTTGCAACACATACAATGTATCATTATAGATTAAATGAGATTTTTCCAAGTTACCCTGGAAATGTAACCATTATATTTATCAGACAATATTATTCTCAGTTCCAAATTACATGTATACAGAATACATTTATCAAGAACACACAAACTGGACAGTATACAGCAAATAAATTAGAATGGGCCCTAGCTGGTTTGGCTCAGCGGATAGAGCCTCGGCCTGCGGACTGAAGGGTCCCAGGTTAGATTCCGGTCAAGGGCATGTACCTGGGTTGCGGGCACATCTCCAGTAGGGGGCGTGCAAGAGGCAGCTAAATCGATGTTTCTCTCTCATCGATGTTTCTAACTCTATCCCTCTCCCTCTCCCTTCCTCTCTGTAAAAAATCAATAAAATATATTTTTAAAAATAAATAAATTAGAATGGTTGCTACAGGGGTAGAGAGGAGGCACGTGTGGAGAATGGGGAGTAAAAAAGATGAATGAAGGAATGAAAGAATGAATGAACATGTACAGGCTTCCTACCTTGGTGTAGTGATTGAGAGCATAGACTATAGAGCAATCTGCCTGGGTCTGAAGCTGCACTGCACCAGCTATGTGCTCGTGGGTAAATTATCACTCTGGAACTTAGCTTTCCCATCCACAAAATTGGAATAATAGGTTACTAATAGTTCCCACTTATATAAAATTGCTATGTGGATCAAATGAGTTAACAATATTTATAAACACTCAGAACAATTCATAGCACATAGTAAGCATTGTGTGGTATGTTATTTTTTTTAATAGATGATAGCCCTTGCCAGGGTGGCTCAGTTGGCTGAGCATCATCATCTTGTGCACCAAAAGGTCATCAGTCAGGGCATATACCCAGGTTGCAAGTTTGATCCCCAGTCCGGCAGGTGTGTACAGGAGGCAACAGATCCGTGTTTCTCTCTCACAACGACATTTCTCTCTCTCAAAAAAATCAATAAATACATATTTTTTAAAAAAATAGATGATAATAATAAATGCATGAACTGAGGTCTCTGAAGAACTCAAATCTCTTCACCTGACTAACCTTAGGGACCTTTCTTTGCATAGAAAGGGCCAACTTAAAATATAGTACACAATTAGGTAAAGTACCTTCCCAAGAAGAGATCTGCACTCTGTCCAATATCAGTTGTAAATTCTTGGTTCTCAACCAATGTTTATTAGAGACATAAAAGACCCTTGGAGATTTGGGGGTTTGAAGGTGGGTTGCTAATATCCAAGGAGCAATTGGGCATTTGTAATGAAAAAAAGTGAGAGTTTTAAAGAAGTTGTGACACTACTGTCAGTTTAGAAGTAAAGCAGGGAAAGAGGACAGTAGGAAGAAGTTGGAGACCTAACAATGGCCAGGAACCTTGTTAGGAACAGCATGGAACTGGTAACCGTCGGAAGAGTCAAAAGCAGGGCCTGCTTATGTAGTAGCCTTCTGACACAAACACCTCAGGCCTATCTCAGGACACATTGCCTGTTCTCTTTATTACTGCTGAAAAAAATTCATCAATTCTCAAATATATACAACAATGAAAGAACATGCTCATGAAAAATGACTTGTATGCATGTATATGAGCATAATCAATGGATAGACAGTAGGGGGATGAGGGCATGTGCTGGGGGGTGGGAGTGGCTAGACAGAGGTCAATGGAGGAAAAAGAGACTCGTGTAATATTTTAACAATAAAGAACTTAAATTTTAAAAAAATGACTAAAATGATTAGTGTAATAATTTTCTCTACTTTCCAAATTTTTCTATAGCAAATGATATATTGCTTTTACAATTTAAAACTTGAAAGATAAAACTAATTAGGTGTAAAAAATCAAATTCACTAATTACAGACCCATGAGAGTTGGAAGTTCCTCTTATCAAACATCAGAACCATCTGGGAATATCACTAGACTGCCTGTGACTCTCTCAAACATTATTGGTCTCATTTTCATACCAAACTAATATTAGACCAGAATGGTAGTTTGGGTTATAGGAGAGAAGAAAGTAATTTCAAAAGATAGGACAAGACAAGTATGGACAGGATTCGGCTGTAGGTGGGTTTGAATACTGAGGGAGATGCTAGGGAATGGAGGAGGGATACAAAAAGGAAGGTGGGGAAGGGCTAAGCACATTTCATTTTTAAATTACACTAAAGAAAAGAAATAAATTCTTTCCTCATTGTCTCTTGTTATAAAAGCTCCCTGATACCAAGAACTCTACACAGTACCACCAGTAAGAGTGCTCATGGAGGAGCCTGGGTCACTTCTCATTATTTCACACTATGCTCTGCAGGACACTAAGGAGCCCCCTTAGGGACTGCTTAGGATTGGAGTGAGAGAGAAAAAGGATGGAGGCAAAGCTCTGCCCTGCCTCACTCATTTCAGGCAGAGAAGTTCTGCTTTACCTGACTTCTATATTAGACTTCTATTTAAGATTTTATAGATGAGAGAAGGAAAAATGGGTGAAGGGTATCAGAGGAAAGAAAAACTTCCAGTTATAAAATGAATAAGTCCTCAGGATGTAAGGTATAGCATGATGACTATAATTAATAATATTATGTTGCATATTTGAAAGTCACTAACAGTTCTCATCACAAGAAAGAAATTTAACTGTGTGGTGACAGATGTTAACTAGGCTTATTGTGTTGATCGTATCACAATACATACAAATACAAAATCGTTGTACATGTGAAACTAATATAATGTAATAGGTAAATTATACCTCAATTAAAAATATTGTTTAAACAAAGGGATGTACCACTAAAGTATAAAACCCACTCATTTGAACTGAAAAATTACACAAACTTAGATATATATATGAAAGAAAATTAGATTATGCAATTCAAATTGTCTTACTTTTAAAGAGCGCTTAAAACTGTATGACGGGTATCTACCAGAGCCTTCTCCACTTTCAACACGTCTTTTACAAAAAACAATGGCTTTTTCATACAAGAAAAGGTGCCGCTGCATTGGTTTGAATCTAGCAAAATCCTTCATTTTTGTAGCACCTTTTTTGTGTCCAGTCCAAACACTGAATGCACCCTGCACTATCATCTTGCCCAGCTCATTTAAGTTTCCCTAGAATAGAAAATCAAAACTTATTAGTACAAGGCAGAGCTACATTCAGATTCTTTACATCAACATTACAGTGTTTAGCTTGAACTACTAAAATCCTGATGCATAATTGATATAGTTTTTAAATTTTTTCATAACTTCTTACATTAAAACATGCCATGTGTCAAATAGTTACCAAATTACTATGGAGTATGACATCTAAAAGCTTCCTTTTCCCTGGCTTCATGTCTCCATTTGGAGGTAGTTTAGATAGGGAAACTCTCATCTCTTCCTCAATCCCGATTGGCGCATGACACCTACCAGTCCAAGTTTCTCCACTGGGTGGAGCTACCTCTAAAGATTTTATCTTTTTCTTCCATACCTATCCTGGACTAGGACAAGGAGAAATACTGGGACAACAGGTCTCCTTAGAAGACCCAAACATTCCTTCTAGCAGGATCACACAAGGTCTGGATTTGGGGGTAGGCTTTTGGGGACAAAGGGAGTATCACAAATAAATTTGGCTGGTGATCTGAAGCAATTCTCCCCTTAGCATTATCAGTAATAATGCTGACATTTAGATCTCCATTTGTCTGTCTCTTCTTATTTCTCAATTGGTTCCAAAAGAGGAAGAAAGGTATGTGAACATGCTTACCCCCTAAAATTGTAACAACCATTAAAATCTACTTACAACATAGCCATTTATTGCAATCTGATGCATAGAGTCATTAACTGACTTCAGTAAATCCAGCATTGTGTCAAGTGCCACCTTTAATTGTTCAGATCCTTCACAGTCTTTACTATATTTTAATAGTTCCTGTAATTAGAAGTCAAGAATTAGACTTAATAGTAGGCAGATATTAATAGCTGGAGAAAATGAATAAAATTTCAGCCAACATGCTTTCAAAGAGGAGTTCAAAGATAATGTCACTTTTTTGAGTAGTTTCTTTCATATGCTATTTGTCACATTAATACTATATTTAATAATAATGTCAAAATTGGAGAAGAAATGGAATATTGCCTAAACAATATAAAGTAAAGGACATTCAATGCTTTCAGTGCTGAAGAACAAAGTTTTTAGGACATACTAGAGATTAGTTTGTAAAGCAATCACATTTTTTGGTCCTCTACACACAAAAATTTACTTTTCTCCTTTATTGTTGAAAGTATTACAGATGTTCTCTTTGCTTGCTTGTTTCTTCCCCATTGACCTCCTCCACCCTGCACCACCTCCTGGCCTTCACCACTCTGTTGTCTGTGTCCCTGGGCTATACATAGAGCCTGCCTTCCCTCTGAAATTCATCAGTCTGTTTCATGCTTTTATGTTTTTGGATCTATTTTGTTCATCAGTTTATTTTGTTCATTAGATTCTACATATGAATGAGATCATGTGATACTTATCTTTCTCTAACTGGTTTATTTTACTTAGCATAATACCCTCCAGGTCCATCCATGCTGTTGCAAACAGTAAGACTTATTTTGTTTTGTTTTTAAACTGCATAGTATTCCATTGTATAAATGAACCACAGTTTTGTTTTGTTTTATCCACTCATCTGCTAATGAGCCTTTGTTTCCAGATCTTAGCTATTGTAAATTGAGCTGGTCTGAACATAGGGGTACACATATTCTTTCTGATTGGTGTTTCTGATTTCTTAGGATATATTCCGAGAAGTGGGATCACTGGGTCAAATGGCAGTTCCATATTTAATTTTTTGAGGTAACTCCATACTGTTTTACACAGTGGCTGCACCTGTCTGCATTCCCACAAGAGGTGTATTAGGGTTCCCCTTTCTCCACATCCTTGCCAGCACTTGTCATTTGTTGATGATTGTCATTCTGACAGGTGTGAGGTCATTGTCATTTTAATTTGCATTTCTCTGATGATTAGTGACTTTGAGCACTTTTTCATACGTCTCTTGGCTTTCGTATGTTCACTTTAGGGAAGTATCTATTTAGGTCCTTTGCCCATTTTTTAATTGGATTGTTTGTCTTCCTTTTGTTAAGTTGTATGAGTTCCTTATACATTTTGGAAAGTAACCCTTTATCAGATGTATCATTGGCAAATATGTTCTCCCATGCAGTGGGCTCTATTTTCATTTTGCTGATGGTTGCTTTTGTTGTACAGGAGTTTTTTATTTTGATGTAGTCCCATTTGTTGATTTTCTCCTTAGTTTCCTTTGCCCTAGACCAATGATGGCAAACCTTTTGAGCTCGGCGTGTCAGCATTTTAAAAAACCCTAACTTAACTCTGGTGCCATGTCACATATAGAAATTTTTTGATATTTGCAACCATAGTAAAACAAAGACTTATATTTTTGATATTTATTTCATATATTTAAATGCCATTTAACAAAGAAAAATCAACCAAAAAAATGAGTTCGTGTGTCACCTCTGACACGCATGTCATAGGTTCGCCATCACTGCCCTAGACAGCGGTCGGCAAACTGCGGCTCTCAAGCCACATGCGGCTCTTTGGCCCCTTGAGTGTGGCTCTTCCTAAGTCTTAGGAGTACCCTAATTAAGTTAATAACAATGTACCTACCTATATAGTTTAAGTTTAAAAAATTTGGCTCTCAGAAGAAATTTCAATCATTGTACTGTTGATATTTGGCTCTGTTGACTAATGAGTTTGCCGACCACTGCCCTAGAAGATGTATCTGTAAACATATTGCTATGAGAGATGTCTGAGATTTTTCTGCCTATGCCTTCTTCTAAGATTTTTATGGTTTCATGACTTACATTTAAATATTTTACCTGTTTTGAGTTTATTCTTGTGTATGGTGTAAGTTGGTGGTCTAGTTTCATTTTTTTGCATGTACCTGTCCAATTTTCTCAGCACCATTTATTGAAGAATCTGTCTTTACTCCATTGCATGCTCTTGCCTCCTTTGTCAAATATTAATTGAGCAAAATGGCTTGGGTCAATTTCTTGGTTCTCTGTTCTTGTGCTTTAGGGTGTTTTGAGTACAGTGGTTTTGTAGTATAACGTGCTGTCTAGTATTGTGATTCCTCCACTTTGTTCTTCTTCTTAAGATTGCTGAAGCTTTGGGGGGTCTTTTTTGGTTCCATATAAATTTTTGTAGTGTTTGTTCTAGATCTGTGAAATATACCATTGGTATTTTAATAGGGATTGCATTGAATTTATAGATTGCTTTGGGTAATATGGACATTTTAACAATGTTGATTCTATAAATCCATGAACATGATATATTCTTCCACTTGTTTATATCTTCCTCTATCTCTTTTTTCAACGTCCTGTAATTTTCAAACTATAGGTCTTTTTACCTCCTTGGCTGAGTTTATTCCTAAGTATATTAATTTTTTGTTGCAATGATAAATTAGATTGTTTTTTTTCATTTCTCTTTCTGAGAATTCATTATTGGTGTATAAAAATGTCGTCGATTACTGGGTGCTAATTTTGTATTCCGTTACATTGCTGAATTCATTTATTAAATCTAGTTTTTATGGAGTCTTTAGGGTTTTCTATGTATAATATCATGTTATCTCTGAATAATGACAGTTTTATGTCCTCCTTTCCAATTTGGATGCCTTTTATTTTTTCTTCTTATCTGATCGCTATGGCTAGGACTTCCAGTACTATGTTGAATAAGAGTGCTGAAAGCGGACATCCTGGTCTTGTTCCTGTTCTTAGGGAAAATGGTTTCAGTTTTTGCCCATTGAGTATGAGGTTGTTAAAATACATTTTAAAACAAGCTATGCTGTATTTACACATCACACAATTCACATTACACAGGGGTATGCCATCTTCATTTTCCATTGAGAAGACCCATATTAAATGCAGTTGCAAAACTCTAAGAAATATTTGCTTAGTTCTTTTTAACAATAGTAAAAATTCTGTAGTAAATGTTATAAATATGTCAATGTACATGTATGTACAGTTAAATAGCTAAAGAGACACCAGATATTCTCAGCTTTACATCTATGCTTCCAGCACTTGCATAGCCAGTGAACCAAAGGAACACACTGCGTTGATCCTACTGCTAAACCTAGCCTTCCTAGTCAATGAGTCTACCTATTTCTAGTGTTTTCTAGTCTTCTAATCCCTTTTCATGACTTTGGCACATCTGACCCAAAGTAAATAAACAAATGCTTAATGTACTTACCTTCAACAGTAACTGATATTTAGTGAGTCGTTGCACTGGTTTGAGTAAATAGGAATCCAGACCAAGTCTGTGTTTTAATTTTCTTTGACATTCCTGTGATAAAATATATTATCAATGAATTTAAATGAAGACATAGCCCTGTGAAAACGCCAAGTGTTCATTGAGTAGACACAATGATGGCAGGTTTATTACATCACAAGGAAAATTTACCAGAAGAAATTGATGTTACATGTGGTATGACCATTAGAGGCAGCATATTTGAAAAACTACAGTAAACATTATTTCAAGAATGTGTGAAGTAGAAAATTCAAAATTTCAAAGACTAAAACATTTATATATAAATTCATTGATGTGGAATGTTCAAAAGGTGAGAAAGCAACAAATGACCATAGATGAACATTACTAAAAAGTTCTTCAAAATATCCAAGAAAATTAACAGAAGGTTCAGCTCCACAGGCCAAGGCCCAGAAAAGAAATACGTTATACAGAATATAAATTAGATTGGGCATGAGAAGATGTTTTTTTAATATCACAAGAAAAATCCAGCCCTCATTAACTGGCTATATTCCCTGCCACTATAAATATAAGGTCATAACTTTGGGTCCTGGGAGCTTTGTAGGGTCTCTAATAAGGTCAAGATGGGGGCTGTATAGGATGAAATGTGTGTATAGGAAGTGCAGAATACAAAAGAAGTGGAAGAGGTTATACCTATGTAAGATTCAGGACCCCCATCTGGATATGGATAAAACCCAGTGTATAATCTAATTCAAACAATTATCAACCCTAACTCATGTTGGGAAGCAGCGACATAAGCATGATATTGAAGATTTAGAGGTAAATACCAAAAGAAGTAGCTAAAAGAGCTAAAAGTGGTTGCCTCTGGGGAGCAGCATAAATGTGGTTGTGTGTATGTGTACATGTGTGCATATGTGTGTGTTTGGGGGAGGGTAAAATTGCTTTTTAATCAATATATGTATATGCTGATTAAAGTACTTTATTTATTTAAAGTAGAAAATGAATTTATAAATAAGAAATATCCCAGTATCTTTCAGAAAGAATATATCCAAAACCTGAATAATTACTATACCTGGAAAAAAGCGCATTCTGAATACTTCTTCCAAATTGCCTCTGATCTGGGTTTATTCTGACAATATTTTGCATACATCTGAAAATCAGTTTTCTGTGATAAAAGCAAGTTCAAATGTATTACCAATTATGAACAATGTACTTTTCTTATCGAGAAAGTAAGAGCAAGAGTGAGTGTGGCTAAGCATTATAGGGAATATGGCCTAAAGTGCTGCCACACTGGCAGCTGGTCGGGAACCCTCTTTATAGTCCAAGAACAGCATGTCCATCTGAACAGGTAGAGGAACACATAATTATCCAAGTAATTTCACAGCTTCTACTTACCAAGTTTGAGAGTTAGAGGGAGAAAAGCCTTCTCTGAATGAACTATAAAAGCAGACTCATATTTTCACAACTGTGAGCTAATAGGGTACCAAGAAATACGCTCTTCCTATGGTGTTAGTCATTCAATTCCCTGGTGAGTGAATTTGTAGCTAAATTCCAAGGTCCTTGATTTATCATTGAGACATATCATTGTACCATGACCCATTAGACATCTGCCCATGCTATTCTCTCTCCCTGGAACCATCTTTATTTGAGCCTTATCTAATGGGATGCCTCTTACTCACTCTTTAACATTCATCTCATGAGTCATTTCTTCTATAAAGCCATTATTTATATCTCCAGTCTATGTAAGATTCACTTCTTCTTGGCCCCTATAGGATCATTTGTCTATCTCCAACATAGCACAACTCACACTATACACAATGGGTTCCCCATTTTTCTCTGTGAATACGGTAGTCATGGGCTCGGTACCCACATAGCCTAGCACAGTGGTTGGCACATAGTACGTTCTCAGTAAATGGCTGTTAAATGAATAAACATATCAAAAAGCATGTATTAAACTACAACTGATTACCAAGGACTCTGCTAACCTTATGAAAGATACTAGTACAAAGATATATAGGATATGGACCCTGCCTCAAAAACTTTTCCATCAAGTGGAGAAAGAATTCATGAATATATGTAAAGATGCATAGTAAATGTAAAATCCCCAATGAATACCATGGCCATTAAGTCTGACAGGAGTCCAAAGGAAAGAGATACTGCTGTTGCTTAGGGAAAAATATGGGCATCGTTTAAATGTGTTTCAATTTAGGATATGTTGAGAAAGGTAATAACCCAAATTTCTTTCTTAACATTATTTTCTCAGTCCATAAATACTTTCTCAGATATATATTAGGAAGCTTTCAATAATCTCCACTATCCAATTGACTCTCAAATTAAGACAGAACTGATATTTCAGAAACAGGAAGAACTAGATAAGCAGAGAATATTCTGAGAGGAAACTCTAATGGAAGAGAGTATGATTACAAAACTTGAGAAATCAACTGTATTAAGTACACTCTTGGGACATGGAGCAATGAGCCTCCCTGAATGATCTCATAGAATAAAAAAACAGCTCTCTGTGTTGCAAAGTTCCTGTGATAGATGCCTTGGGTCTGAAAGCCAGACTACATTTGATTCTACTAAGATTTCACATGTATTAGAGGGGAATACCAAGGCATCTCAGGCTAAAAATTAACCAAGCCAAGAATGGTTGTGCTAAGATGATTCCTAACTCTCACATCTTCATAGCTTGGATGGTCCTTGGACTCCTGGGATCACCCAGGGGTCAGTGGACACAAGCTGAGCCATTGAAGCATTTGCTAGCACAGAACACAATGGCCATTTACATGCTCTCGATATCCTATTGCACCAGTTTCTGTAACAAAACCTGGTTTAGCATTAAATACTTGCTCGAGTGATGTCTCCTCTAAAAATATAAAGACGTAAAGAACAATACCTACCTTGTCTCTAAATCTGTTCTTATAAAATTAGCTGCTATTTTGGTGGTCCATATTTATATATTTTTAAATAATAATTGAACTAACCCTTTCCAGGAAACAAAGTCCGACTCTTTCTGGAGCATCAATGCAATTTTCCAGACTGCTCATGAAAAGGCTATGAAAATTTCAGAGAAAAAAATAATATGTTTATGGGAAATAAATTGGTAAATAACCCTTTAAATAATATCATGAAAAATAAAATTCAATTCAGCAATTACATACTTGCTATGAAATTCATATATTTCTGCCATATTTCCAAAGAGAACATCCTTTTTATTTCTCAGGAGAGGTGGCATAAGATCAAACATCTCTGGATTATCCATCTCTGCTTTATAGCCCTACCCAAAATAAAAACATTTATTCAGTTAAAAAAAGATTCACATTAACAGTTGATTGGCCCACCAAAGGTGTATGTACAACAAAATGTATAGGGGATTAGTGGGTGAAGCTGCTTGTAATTTTAACATTAAACCTTCTATTTCCCAAAACTATACATCATTATTTTTTAGAAAGTAGGACATGGAAGTGAAGGTTTTCTACTCAATGGGTAAAATAAAATGATAGCTCATTGGCCTTCAGGGTACTTTATAGTATAGGAAACAAAATAGAAACCAAGTATGAAAAATTATATTACAGGTCATTAACTTCTACTTAAGCTAGCAATAAGTGTTTAGGTTTTTCAGACCAAATTCATACTATGACACTTGTATGAAATGAATGTTTTTCTCCCATTTTTAGATCTTTATATCACAAACTCTAAATAGTACCATGGGAATAATTAGAACCATCTGCTGTATCACTAAGAGAACAGCTTCTCTCCTCTATAATACATTCTGAATCCACAATTCTTACTCCTGAGGGAGAACCTGAATACACACATCTGACAAACATGCAGTCTCAAGCCATAGCAGAAATACCCACTGCTGCCATGTGACAATCAAGCAAGTATGCGGGAAGAGAAGACTGCCCTAAACACTTCCTAACAGATGTAGCAGGGGAGCATTCAGGAAAAGACAGGAAAATACAATTTGACGCCCTTACCAACAAAACAGTAAACAGCTCGCGAACATAAATCTTCTCAGTCTGTATCAGCTCATTTAGGACATGGCTAAAATGAAAAGATCATATTTATCAATTATTCTATTGTTTTAGAATTGCATTGCAATATTTCAGTTATCATTATAAATTGTCTAATGTAAAAATTGTTAATCACAGGAACTACCAATAGTTTTGGTTTCATTATTAAAATGTAAAATTAATTCTATGGTTTCTAGAATAAGTACCACCACAAGATTCTAAAATATATTTAAAAGAATGGGGAGCGGTGCTCAGGACTTATTTTTAAATGGGGAAAAAAAACACCTTTATTTCTAACTCACTAAGTTTAAGAATCAATTTACTAAAACCTCACAAACTCTATTCCCCAAAATCTGGGAAATACTTTTGGGGAGGGGGGCAACACAGTTTCTTAGTTATAATTCCCTTTCTATCTCCCTCTCCCTCAAAAAGAAATATTAAAATTTTAGGCGTAATTTTTCCTTTTTCCCAGTAATGTTCTGATATTTTTCAAGACATTAAGTGGATTTATTATACTGGGTTTCCCAAGTATAAATCATACTTAAGTTTCTGTAGTAATTTTGATTACTAGCACTTTATAATAAAACTAGAGGCCCAATGCACGAAATTCGTGCAAGAGTAGGCCATTCTTCCCCCGGCTGCCAGCACCGGCTTCCCTCTGGCCACCAGCAGGCAGCCGGACCCGGGCTTCCCTCGCAGCCCGGCTTTGTCTGGAAGGTCAAATTAGCATATTATGCTTTTATTATTATTGATACATTTTCCTTCCAAAGCAATTTCCAATTGACATTGTATTTAAAATTTGTTTCCTCACTCCCCACTATAAGTAATCCTTTTAATTTAACTTCTATCTTTATCCTCTTTTTTATTTTTTACCTTTTAATCATTAACCTTTAAAAATCTTTAATACACATACACACACACAGGGTGGGGCAAAGGTAGGTTTACAGTTGTTAATATGGAAAATAATGTAATCAATAAATAATAATATAAGCACAAACTCTGTGTTTTGTGTACTCACAACTATAAACCTACTTTTGCCCCAACCTGTATGTGTCTAAATATATCTTGCTCTAAATACTGGCTACTTACAACTCTATGATATAAAATTTAAAAGGTGAATATACTCATCTCTGGAATGTTAACAGAATACTATAAAAGTGAATGAAACAATGATTATTAACATGTACAAAATAACATTGTATATATACATAACCCTTTGTAGTTTTTGGAACACTGTCCCATTCACTCTGACCTCATTTACAAAAGAGGATACTAATATTCTGTAAAGGTCTAGTTAATTTTCAAGTCACATAAACAGAGCATATGTTAACCAGGTCTAAATGCAAGACTTTTGATATTTCATCTAGTGTTCTTTTCATCAAATCTTGTATAACCCCATACTGTGAACTCAAAAATCCCAAACATGTTCGCCTTGGACACTGAATCAGTGACTCCTATGAGTAGATGTATATATGTCTGTTAATAAATTAAAAAATACTTCTTTAAAACATCCAAGGTATTGTTATTGTTCAAACTGGAGGATGGACCAGAACTTCTCTTCTCCAGACAATCATGCACCACTTCAATCTGAAATGATGAAAATAAGTTAAATTAGCATCGAAGTAGGTATAGTTCTTGTTCAAAAAAAATCTGGCTCAAATTAAGTTTTCTCTAGGTCCAAACTGTGTAGATAAATTGAAAAATAACCCTATGATTATTTGTTCTTTCAGATATAACTCTGATATGTACTATTAAAAAAAAATTTGAGTTGCCTAAGAGGGCAGATTTAAGATAATAATTAGAATTTGCTTTATATATTAAGTAATGTTTCATTTATTTGGCACTTTGGGGAAATGAGGTTAATTCATAAAAAGCTTATTGTGCAAATAACTAAAGTTTATTCACTGAAGAACCAAAATGGCTTGTCAACCTTAATGTTTTTTAAAGATTTTTTATTGATTTTTTTTTTTAGAAAGGAAGGGAGGAGGGGGAAGGAGTGAGGAAGGAAGACAGGGAGGGAGGGTGGGAGGGAGGGGGGGAGAGAGAGAGAGAGAGAGATCCACTTCCTCCTGCATGCCCCCTAGTGGGAGTATGAAACCAGGCACGTGCCCTCACTGGGAATTGAGCTGGCAACCCTTGGTGCATGGGAGGACGCCCCACCAACTGAGCCACACCAGCCAGGGCTCAACCTTAATGACTTTTTATGGAAACCTTTCTAGGAAATATTACATGAATCCTTGAATTCTTTAACCCAGGATACAGAACATCGTTGATCCTTTTCCTATTCACTCAGTGGCATCAATCATGAACATAAATGATATGATAAAATCTAATGATATACTCCAGGGCTAGTAAAATGTGCAGAAATGTCTATTGTTTCTTGAAACGACTGTTTCCTGTTCATCTGTCTCTGCTCTCTGCCACATGTCAGTTGTTGCTATAAGTGATCTCCCTGATCCTAAACTGCTAACTTATTTGCAGACCCTATGGGACTTGGACTACCTTACTGAATCAACTGCATGAGATTTAACACAAAATTAGCATTTTGCTCTTCAGAAGCATGTGAAGTATATTCCAGGGATCCTGGTTGTATTGAACAGCTGAGATGAGCCAAAACCCTAACCTCCAAGTAATGTAACAACTGGAACCCCAAATCAAGTACGAGATCTATCAGCTAAACTGTATTTCCACAGAACATGACCTACTTATTAAAAATACAGGTGGAAAGGAACAAACATTTATTGACTATAAATGTTTGCTCTTCAGAAGCATCTGAAGTATGTGCCAGGGATCCTGGTTGTGCAGGCACAGTCCTAGGTCCGAAACACACATCATTACATCAAATCCTCACAGCAATTTAACATGCTATGGCATACTTATCCCCATTTTACACATGGGAAAACTGAGGCTCAGAGAAGTTTAGCAACAGGGCCAAGGTTCATACCTTGTAAGTAATGAAACAGAGTCAAGCCCATGATCTGTCCCTATTATCATGCTCCCTCTTTAAGAGCATGCTTTGATTTATGTCTGCTCAATGTACCAACTGTTATCATTTTAATGCTATAATTAGGACTGAAAATGCTGCACACTCCACTTATCAGATAAGTATGCATTATTTACTTTTAAAGAATTTCTGAAATACAAGTTTTTAAAGTTCTGAAACATAAATATCTACTTTTAATTACATAAAGATTTTGCAAATGGACTTGAAGTGGAAGAATGTGTGCATTTTGCAAACTAGTTCACCAGCTACAAATCTCACCGAGAAAATGTACAGAGCCACAGCAACTGAATAAATACACACAGTGGAATGCTAAGGTAGTTATGAATTAAAACTAGAACCGAAAGACATGAAGGACGATGAAATTTGGCATTCAACCTGTTTCCTTCTTGGACCAGAAGTTGTGGCTGTATAACATGATAACCAGGCATGGTATGTAGGTTATTCACTAGCCTGTTAATAATTGTATAAAAGCCTTAGAACACTACCATACACCACATATTTTTCAAAGTAGTTCACAAATATTAGAATATTTTATTTTTATACTAACTCCATAATGAGGGTATCCTATTGTTATCTCCATTTTACAGATAAGGAAATTGATTTCCGAGAACTTACCCAAGGTTATACAGCCAAGTGATGCAACTGGGATTAAAAGCCAGGCAGTCTGGCTCTATAATCTGTATCACTATGACAAACAGCCCGTTGGCAATATATTCTTGTCTTTATTTACCATCAAGAACACACAAAGAAAATGTAGGACATTGCAATTATGATCAGGCTACTCTCTGAAGATACCAGAATATCATGGATAACTGAGAAGGAATCATGTATTTGTCAAGAAATGAATAAATGTCTTTTTCAGCCCAAAGTATGGTCCATTAGAACTGTCCTTTACCCATGCTTCTTACTTGCAGGACTGGAATTACTTATGAAAGAAATCCCCTTTTATAAAAATGTACATCACTTACTTACGATTATTGAAATGGGGTGCGGGGAAAGAGATGCTGGAACATACATGAGATATTCTACAGAAATTATTTTGAATTTGACCCAAGATTTGAGAAACTACTCATTCATCTGGGAATATGCCAGGACTGCAATTAGACACAATGCAGCATCAGCTTTTCCTTTTAGATTAAATAGGCTTTCAAAAACACAATGGTTGAGTGATTAAAAATATGGTTTTAAGACCCTATACCTATTCTGGAACTACAGTAATAAAGTCATCTTTGAATTAATTAATGATATTTACTTTTAAGTTGCTCTGATTTTGTTTCCAAGTCTTCTTCCCTGGGAGAGAAATGTGAAAATATTTCAGACCAGAGTGAAAATCAACACTTACATGCATGTTTATTAAACAGGAAGATAGTAATATTACAATGTGTTTATATCAGTATTTTTAAAATCACACTATACAAAACACTTGAATGTTTAAATTTAGCTATATGATCTCAACTTCTTATTGAGTATACTTTTGCCATGTATCAACCCATTTTCTCCTTCATGAAACATTCACTTGATTGACAAGCAAGCATGAAGCTGAGTGATAGTACACATAAATTATTTGTAGATGTGGTGTTCATCTTGACACATAAGCATTTAATTAGATTGTACCTCACTGATTAACTGGGTCAAAAAGTTTTGAGAAAAATCTAAACTTAAGTAATAATTACAGCATTTATTTTGGCACTTACAATATGCCCACATTCTTGTAAGCCCTACACAGGCATTTTCTTTTTCAAACCTCAAATCACCTTAAGAGATAAGTACTACTTCTATCCCCATTTTAAAGATACGTAAGTAAGGTTACTATCTTGTGCAAAATCAGAGGTGGTATTTAAATCTAAATTGTCTACTATCAGAATCTGTTTCTAACCACTATATAAAACAACATGTCTGAAGCATGTTAAGGTGCTAAAACGAAACAAACCAAAAAACAACTTCATCAAAATTCCAAACTTTAATCTTTCTGTTCTTCCTGTTTAATCTTTCTTTTTCTTTCTGTTTAATCATTCTCTTCTGTTTAAAAAGGGTGAGCCCCTATATTGTTATGCAAGGAGTCCAGATGTTCTGACAAAGCCCAGTGCCTGGTCCACTCAAAGACTAGGTCATTTAAGCTCCTAATTCTCAGGGCTGCTGAAAAGGCTGCCACCCACACAGGCTTTGTAGGTCTCTCTTCTCCATGGAAGGAACATACTTTATGTCTTTTCCTCCTCAGCAGGAGCCATTGCAAGGCACACTCAGGGAAAGGCTATTATGCTGTTATGTTCTCTAAATTTTATACTTTCATTTACTTAAAAATGCATTACATGTTTTTAGGTTTATATAATCATATATATAAATATAAATTAGACTTACTGGCAATTACTATATAAAATCAATTTCTCAATAAATACTGATGTCCATCACTTTAAAGACACTTGATATAGAGATCTGAACTTATTTACAAAGGTAAATTAGGGATCTTCACTAACTAGCTGTACTAATTAATTCTTAGCAAATACATGAAGAGATGAAAAAGGAGTATTTACAAAAGGCATTTTTTTCTGAAAAGCAATGCAGATGAATTCATTCTTTTAACAATGTAAATATGTATAAAACTTATTGAGTGCCTATACTATATGCTAGGCTCCGAATTTGGTGCTAGGGATACAAACATAAATTGCACAGAGACCCTTCCCTTATAGAGCTTACAGTCTATCAAGAGAAACACAAAACAGGAAATAACACTAAAGGTAAGACAAAATAAACAGGGACTTGTTATCACATAGCTTGACTATCCAACTGAACTGGGAAAAGGGGAGGAGAGGCAGGAAGAAAAATATTATCTAAAGGAGGTGGCCTACAGTAGGAAAATTAATAGAGGAGTAGGAGCTAGTGATGGGAAATGAGAGAGGGAAGGGAACACTGTTCCTGAAGAAAACAGTATATGTGAAGTCCAAAGGCAAGATAACTAAGGGAATTTAAGAAGGGAAAATGGGGAGACAGGGAGACTCCTATAGTTGTCAAAGTAATAGATGATATTAACTTGGATTAGGGAAGTGGCAGTGAGTGATAGCAATGGGAATGGAACTAAGTGAGGTTTTTTTTACCGATGAGAGGTGGGGCATGAGTGAGAAGGGGAAGCCAAGGGCCCAGGAATCATGGTGCTATTCACAGAGATGAGGAAAATAGGAAGAGCAGGTTTGCAAAAGAGAAGCAATCGGTTTGGGGTACGCTGAGTCTGAGTTGTCTATAGGAAATTTGAGGAGGCAAATTGTAAATGCAGGTAAGACTAGACTAGAGTTACAGATTTAGGAACTCAAACCACATTTTACCCCTCACAGACAATGTTCTTCCATAACTTCCTTCTGTATTAAATGTTAATTCAACAAATATTTGTTACATCCTGCTAGGTTCCAGGAGACAACTGTGCTAGGTACAGGATTCTATTTGATACAAATTAATAAAAATAAAAGCAAGGAACAAAAAAACAGCTTAACTTATTTTATGAAAAATTAGCACTTATGCTTTGATTTGACCCAAACTTATATATCTGGCTTAGCAATTAAAAGTCTTGAAGAATTATTTGGAACTTATTGTTATAATCCCCATTACTCACAGAGCAATAGGGTAAAATGAATGATGTTTGTAGCATAAGTAATGCTTTGATTTAATTTATAAACCATGACTTATGATTAATAAAATCATTAATCTAACCATTCATGAAGCTGCCGTCTTCCTCATAAATGCACTAGGCAGTCTTAAATTGCAGCAAATTCAAGCTACTCCCAACAAATAATTTTATTGTGGATGACACAAGAGTCTATAAAATGAAAAACAGCTTGATTTATTTTAATAGTGAAACTGTTTTCCTCTTATGAGTGGTCATTTGATGAAAGCGCATAATCTACTTTTTATATAGTCATTTTCCAAGACTAAGTGTAATACTGAGAGAATAATGGACAGTTATTATGAAAAAGAGAGAAAGTTAATTGTAGGCAGAATGCAAAAATGAATGCTGATCGTTTTAAATGCCAAAGTGATTTTTCACATACACAAACTCAGAAAATGTACTAGTGAAAAGTAATAAAGATGGGTACCTTTCAAAAAAAATTTACATGCTTGAAAGAAAGTATCCAACTCCCACTGCAGAAAGAAAGTGTAACACCATTAACTAAGAATATCAGAAATTAATGAAACAACACAAAGCAATATGCACTTTAGTGATTAAGGCAGTGAGTGGGATTTGGACAGTCTCTTCAGAATCCTGTTTCTCAACCCAAGGTGTGCCACTTCTGGAACCCCTTTCAAGGAGCTGAACTTTTAGAAGACTGTAAAGAAAGAAGCCTTAGTCGGAGTCTTGTTTATTGAATACTTCTTATGTTCTATAATTTTTTTCACAGGAACCCTTTGAAGTCAATAGGTGTCAATGTTCCTATTTTAAAGGCAAGGAAACTGAGGTTAAAAGGTTAAGGGAACTGTCCAATGTCACACAGACAGTAAATGAATGCAGGAATCTGAGATCTTAGGAATATCCACCTGTTCTATTTTCATTCTCAGTTATTGGTTTTTAGCCCCTTATTTTTTTTTTACTTTTTCCCATATTATCATAGTCAACATTACTTATTTATGGGATTGGTCAGTTTTATTTGTGAGTATATTTTTATGTTTAATAATTATTAATTATATAACTTTGATCATCTTAGCCTAGTTACCTGCTTTCCTCATCTCTTTTAAATATGATCCATACTGGGGCGGGGCTGGATTTTTAAACTCATTATGCCTGGCTCAAGCTTTCTATGAATTTCAAAATAGTTCCCATACATTAATAAAGCCTCTGATTCTCTTAGATAAGAGAGCCTGAATTTAGTCCTACATTCACCCATCCAACTTACTTAAGGCCCCAAAGCCAAATCACTCTCCCCCTTCAAGAGGCACCAGAGGCTGCTCAAGGGAAACCTTGGAGCAATACAGTCATCTTATTTCCAGAGCAGCTCAACAACATAGTGAGGATAATTATTTTATCCCACAGAATGTAGAAAGGGAAATGGATATTACATGACTGAAATAGGTCAACAAAGATTAAAACCAGAAAATGGACTCTGTGACAGGCAAAATTGTTCTATTTACTTGCATTTATGTACAACAGACAAGCCATTCTATTATCCAAGCCATTTACTTACTAGAAGCTTATAAGAACCAAGTAATAGTTTGAGGTATATAGTGTATATGCATGAGTATGTGCAGGCACATGTGTGTACCAGTATCATATGCCTTCCTTCTTCCACCTGCTGAAGAAAAGGGTGAATTTGATGCGGGTATAAATATTCACACTCATTGCAAGTCTGGACTATTCAGTACAGATTTGTAACATCCTGTAGGAGTAACAAAGTAAATAAGAGCAGTAAAATAAAAAATAAAAGAGGGAATGTAAGATTCTTTACCAGGTTTAGGTGAAAAAAGGGGTGCTTTAGGTATGATCGCTTTGTTGGAAGCAGGTACCACAAACTGGATTGGCCTCACATGCTCATATTTCAGGTTCTTGAAACCAGCTTGTTGGTTCTCAAATACAGTTCGAATGCTTTCAAGCTTGAGTTGTACAGTCTGAATTTGAATCTACAGGTTGTATAAAAATTTTATGAAATATTTTATGAAATGGGATGATTACAAATACTATCAGATTTCTCAGACTCAAACAGTCCAAAAATTAATGTAGAGGAATTTAGAAAAGTAATGGAGATTAATGTATTATCTCCACATAACCAAAACAAATAAAAGAAAAATTCATCAAGCAGTCATGAAATAGGCCACCACATACAGTGATTTACCTTTCATAAACAAGAAGGGATATTGCCTGGAAAAGAAGGCATATTTAGCATCAGAAAGCCACCAAGTTAAGCACTGTCACAGGAGTTTATGTTTCTTTTAGCTCTCTATGTTGTAAAAGGCTCCTCAGAGCCATTATAAAGAATATCTCCCTCTGGCCTTCCTAGACAATTTGACACAGCTAAGCTTGGTGGCATCCAGAGAATGACTCGGTTATTGTCACAGCCATGTTTCTGTTTTTCTGGGGCATTCCCTAAGATCTGATGCTAAACACAGATTTAAATACTGTTCCAATCTTTGCGTCAATTAGACATTTTAGCAGCAAACAGTATCACAAATAAACTTATCTACAATGTGAAAACAGTGCTTCATGACATCTCCAATGGGGTGGTACTGAACAAACCTAAAGCTCTCCACCCCACCAACAGCAACTTCCGCTTGCTCCCCACCCCCATCAAGAAGACCCAGATCCTTTCTTTAAACCTTCCTTCTCAAACTGAGTAGAAGCAATATCTGTATCCACACAGCGTCTGCTGTTGGTTACTGCAGCACAAAGAAAAGATGTTTGGGCTAGGGTGATCTTGACATTGGCCCAATATTTGCCAATACAGCTTTGGTCTTTCTCCAATGATGCACAAGAAAATGTATGTGAGAGCTCCTAGTATGTGAAAAGAGTTTTAAAATAATGGAGTCAGAGCTCATAAAGAAAATTACTCTTAATTAAATAGCAAGAATAAGCCTTTGGATTTTTTGAAGCTTAACAGTGACACTGATATCACCTCTAATCCTTAAGAGCACTGTGTAATTGCAATTTGATATAAAGTTAGCAGTGAAGTAATAAAACTCTTACAATACTAAACCTACGGTAATTATAGTTTTTAAAAACGTGTTTACTTAAAAAGAAGCCTCTTATTTTGAGTTCAGGGGATAAAAGTAAATCAAATTCATACTGTAGGGTTTTAGTAGCAAAGTTTATAAAGGGCAGAGCCATTTCAAGAAAATGTTCGATATCTTGGAGGGCTTCCTGAGCATTTTCTTTAGACTGAAACTTATCTATTTCCTGACTTCATCACAGCATTGAAGAGCCTGGAGAGCACACTACACACACACACACAAACACACACACACACACACACACACACACACCATAACTATGAGTAAATGAAAACATATATGTTTGTCCCTTAAAACAGTGTTTATCAGTTTATCAGTCCCGGCTTCTGTCAATCAGGGTTACTTTCAGAGCTATTAAAAATAAAGATATCTAGGTTGGGTCTCCAGAAACTCTGATTCAGTAGCTCAGGGCCATAAGCCAGGTATTTATGTTTACAGAGCTCCATGGGTATTTCTGATGCACAACCAAACCTGGGAAGCACTGCACTCATTTCATAACAAGGAAATCATTCTGCAGCAGAAGCCTGACCATTCTATCAATACTAATATTTGAGCTGCATGCTATTTTCCCAAAATCAATAACTGAAATATGAAACTCCTAGCCAAATATAAAGTATAATATGAAAGCATAATGATTGCTCAGGACAAGGATAAAAGTTTCCTTGCCATAGAAGATGTGCAGATTAAAATGTTCATGCTCAGATATGATGCCTGTAAATGATAGCCCTATTTTTCATTCCACTGCCAGGAACAGATCTTATCTTCACTGCTTACCCATGAATGGGGTCAGACCCTCAAGCAATGGCAGAATATTTTCCAGTCACTTTAATTTTTTACTGCTATAACTATGAAATGTGGAAAGAGTTTCAGGTTTTATCAAAATACCCCCCCAAGGTTCCGTAAAGTGTTCTGTCTGCAAACTATCACTAGAGTAGAGGCTTCAGAGATGTACCCAAAATAGAAAGAAGCCATCACAACCACAATCTCAATATTCAGAACAGAGGCCGAAATTCTTATAATACTAACCTGCTATGAATTCTGCAGAGTTAATATGGATTAAATAAGCATAGTCAAACTCAGACCTCTTGCAAATTCCAAAGCTATACCAGACCCTGACCATATAACCTCTGAGAAGGACCCAGGAAAAATATTTATCTTCCTTTTCAGAAATGCACCATGCCACATGACACTACCTGCTGTAGACGTTTATGCATTTCGAAGGTCCAGCTGAGTTGTATCCGTTTGTGTTTTGTCTCATTAACCAAAATATCAGAAAGATAATGTAGCTCGGTGCACCTCTGGCAGATCAAATCAAGTGCATAATGGTGATTTGATGTAAGTCTGTGTCCATGTAAAATCACAAACTGGACCTTTGCTAACAAATCCTGATTTTGAGAAAGAAGTAAAATAATAACTGCATGATCTCTGTTCAAAGAGAGGGAGGAATAATTAAGAAGCAGACTGATTGAGCAAGGAGATATTTTGCCAAAAATATGATTTGATATCATACTTTTACAGGCTGCAAAAAAAGCTGTTACAGTAATTAGCTATAGCAGTTGATATCAGAAACTCACACATTTCTGGTAATATAAAAAGAAAACTATCCAGCCTCCCAGAATAGGAATGAGATGTGCTTCTTGTGGGTTGTACAGATTTAGAACAGAACCCCATATATCAAATGAAGTACACACCAGCCAAAGAAAGCTAATTGGTTTCACACATGTCAGCCTTGGAAATCCACCTGACACCTTTACAGACCTGAAGTGAACCTGTCACAGGGTTTGCATGTCAAAAGGGATCTTAAAGGCCTTGCCTCCACATCAACTGCTGACTCACCCCCACCATAGTGACTGAAACATAATAGGAGCTCAGGAAATGTTTGTCGACGTAAAATAAAGAAACCTGAAGCCCCATATGAAGAAGTGACTAGCCTATCTAGATAGTGGGCAAACCAGGGTCAAAATAGGAAGCAGTTTAATGGAATAGAATTCCAGTGTTGCAAGATGAGAAAGGTCTAGAGATCTGTTGCACAACAATGTGAATACATTAAACACTACTTAACTGTACACTTAAAATGGTTAAAATATTAAATTTTGTTATGTCTTTCATCACAATTACAACTGAAAATTATTTAAAAAACAAAAACAAACAATAAAACTAAAGCCCCCTAGTTTCCAACCCAGTTTGCCTTCTTTTTCTACTCTACCATAGGGATCTGTAAATTGCCCCACAATCACAAAGATCTACAAGCACAATTCCAGAACTGGTCACCACAACTGCTACCTCTCAATTTGTGTTTCTTGGTGCTGGTGGTTCACCCATAAATCTATTTGTTCGCTGAAAACCCACCTTAAAAACCATGGCCTTGCCCTCTCATACAAAACAGGAGAGCAAAGCTAGAGTTTGTTAACTAGTAAAGCCATTAGTCCAAGCTTTAAGACTGGCAGCTGGCTCTTTTGAGTCATGTATCTCAGGTACGGTGCTGAGTGCTTTATCTACAACACCTAAATGAATCCTTACAATCTACTCTGCAAAGTAGGTCCTTTCATCACCAATTTATAAATTAGGACATTGAGCCTAGAAAATGTAATCAATTTACGTAAGGTCACACAGCTTGTCAGATTAAGTAGATCTATCTATATGAACGTATGCTGGTTCAAATAGATATAACAAATGATGGATATTTATGGAATTATGTTCTTGTATGTTTCCCTTATTTCCAAGTACCCAAATAGGATTCTTGATAGACATTTTTCTAGCTTCTTCAAATGATTTATGATCTTGTTCCCACTGGCAGGCCTAAAATATTTCACACCATTATCTCAGAAGCTTCCTACATGATATATGCAGTGTCACTTCAGGCCCACATTGAACAGAATGGAAAACAGACCAATATTATTGAAAAAATTATATAGATTGTTGCTGAGAGATTACCAGTAATCATAATAAGGGTTTCAACCACTGAAAAGCATCAAAATGTACTATCATACTCCATAAATATAATGAACATCTGAAATGTAATCTTACCTGAGAATTTTCATCTAAGTTTTCCAAATGTTTTATTTTTTGTTTTATATGAGCTATATTCCCTGTGACATCTGCCAACTCTGCTTGTTGATTTAATAGAAGTTCAACTTCACGCACAAGCTAAAAATAGTAATAAAAATTAGTCTTACAAGCAAATAAATTATTAAGCATTTCCCTTAATAATCAAGTTGTATAGGAAATGCTATTAAATAAGAACATCAATATGAAAAAATTGCACATATGAAAAATATTTTCAGTTATTTTATTCACAGTAATTCATATAATCTGCTAAAATTTAAACTCCTAGATATCAGTGTGTATTGATTATTTATAAAATATCACTATGTACATATGAAAACATGTATATGTGGACATGTATGGAAGTATGTATAAGTGTATATACCTATACATATATATTCCCTAGCTCTATGGTGAACAGTTCTAGGAACAAAGACCCTTTAGTAGCAATGAGGACTCCTAGCATCCAGATGTTGGTCTTTAACATCATTTTCCAGAGAAAGAAACCAGAGCTTCTAGAATATGTCTGGTTCCAAGGCTGAGGCTTGGACCATCTCTTTATGCTAGAAAGTAAAGAAGTGATCAAATAATATTTGGACATATCACCAGGACATGGTAGTTAGCTTGAAACACCAAAATAGTAAGAGCAGTAATAAATTATGAACCATTAAAAACCTATGAAGCCATGGACCCAAAAATATAGATAGATAGATAGATAGATAGATAGATAGATAGATAGATAGATAGATGATAGATAGATGATAGATAGATAGATAGATAGATAGATAGATAGATAAGGAGAAGGGAAGACCCTTGCTTACAGTAGCATGCCTATGTGGACTGGTAAATGTGGAGGAGACACTAGAGAAAAAAAACCCCAGCATTTCACAACTATTATAATAAAGACTATTTAAATCAAGAAAGATCAATTGATATTAAACCTATGGTTATCTTTTGATGAGGAGCAAGATATTTGCATGGGCCCAGCCGCTGTGGCTCAGTGGTAGAACGTCGACCTATGAACCAGAAGATCACAGTTCGATTCTGGTGAGGGCACATGGGTTGTGGGCTGGATCCCCAGTAGGGGCCATGCAGGAGGCAGCCGATCAATGATTCTCTCCCATCATTGAAGTTTCTATCTCTCTTACCCTCTCCCTTCCTCTCTGAAATCAATAATATATTTTTTAAAAGATATTTTCATGGCCTTAAATTCTCTCCCCACACATTTCCTATTAGATACAAGTGGAAAAAAGTAACTACACAGTGGAGAAATTTAATAGCACCCTGACTGTGTGATCAAAGTCTACATCAACAATGAGGGATCGGTGGACTTAATTTCCTCCAGATGTGATACCTTCAGAAGGACACATCACATATGCGATATTCTAGGTAGTCATACACAGATTAATCTAATCACGAGAAAATGTCAGACAAATTCAAAAAGAAGATTTTATTTTTAAAAGGACTGTATTATACTTTTGCCTGTCTGTAAGTTATTTTTTTACTTAATTCCTTCATCTTTTTCACCCAGCCCCCTCTCCCTCCTCTCTGACAGCTATCAGTCTGTTCCATGTATTCATGCCTCTGTTTCTATTTTGTTCATCAGCTTATTTTGTTCATTATATTCCACATGTCAGTGAAATCACACAATACAATATACAGATGATGTATTATAGAATTGTACCTCTGAAATCTATATAATTTTATTAACTAATGTCACCCCAATAATTTCAATTAAAAATAAAATGAATAAAAAGGACTGTATTATTAAAAATGTCAATGTCATAAAAGACAAAATATGGCTATAGAAATGTTCTAGATTAAAGGCAACTAAGGAGACATGACAACTTAATGCCATACAAGACTCTCTAGACTGGACCCTGTATTATACATGGGAAAATAAGGTTGGTTAGAGCATCATCCCATGCACTGAAGGATCATGGGTTCAATTCCTCATCAGGACACATACCCAGATTTTGGTTTCCATCTCCAGTCAGAGTGTGTAGGGGAGACAATCAATTGATGTTTCTCTCTCACATTGATGTCTCTCCCTCTCTCCCTCTCTCTCTCTCTCTCTCTCTCTCTCTAAAAAAAAGAATCAATTTTTTTTAAAAAAAAAAGGATAGCTGAAGAATGGGTCTCTCTATACAATGGCTCATACAAAGCAAACTGCCTGCAAATAGACTGGTGGTAAAGCACCGAGGAAGCCACTAGCTACTAAAGTCACTCTCAAGAGTACACCTTCTACCAAAGGGGTGAAGAAACCTCATCATTACAGGCCTGGTACCATGGAACTTCCTAAAATTAGACGTTAGCAGAAGTTTGCTGAACTTCTGATTCACAAACTTCCCTCCCAGTATCTGGTGTGAAAAATTGCTCAGGACTTCAAAACAGATCTACGCTTCCAGAATGCACCTGTTGGTGCTTTGCAGGAGGCAAATGAGGCCTATCTGGTTGGCCTTTTTGAAGACACCAACCTGTGTGCTATCCACGCCAAACATGTAATAATTATGCCAAAAGACATCCACCTAGCACACCACATATGAGGAGAGTGTGCTTAAGAATCCACTAAGATGGAAACATTTCATTCTGTTAAAAAAATTCTCTTCTTCCTGTTATTGGTAGTTCTGAACATTAGATTTTTTTTCCATGGGTCAAAAGTTACCTAACTATATGCTTGCAAAAAGGGGACAAAAATCAGGTATTAGCAGTTATTCCCATTTTCATTTGTGTGAGAATTTTTTTAATATAAACGTGGGAACATAAAGCATTGATGCAAGTTAAAATGTTTCAGTAAACAACATTCAGCAGTTTAACTTTATAAAAATGTAAATAAACATGTTAATTTGGGCAATGTCAGCATTTGGATTTTTTTTTTAAAAAGTAAACTTCTTATTGATGGCAAAAAAATGATAGTATCAAGTCAGTTGGCAAAATTGGAATACTGACGGTAGATAATACAAAAGTATCGCATTATTGTTGAATGTACTAAATTTGGTAACTGTACTATAATTATGCAACATAATATTCTTATTCTGTATATTCAAAAACATCACATTTGACAATATTCAAAATGTTATGAAAGTTTGAAATTGCCAAACAAGTTTTTAAGTTAACTTCCTAAATATACAGAGTCTATCTGATGTCACTATGAAATACAGATCATGTCAGTGAGATTATAATCCAAGAAGAAACAGAATATAACTGCAGTATAAAAATTTAATATGGATGCAAATTAAGATATATAGAGAGGTATAATAGGTATGATCAGGGAAAGTGTTACTTTTCCATGTGTTCATTTGGGGAGGAGAGAGAGACACAAATATCTAGAAGGACCAAGAGCAATTTGACCTATTCTTTCAGGACGATTTCATGGAGAGCATGGCATTTCAAAATCTGTTTGAATTATAGGAGGGAAAGGACTGGTAGTAACTGTGCCCTCTGTCCAGAATGCAGTGCCCCTCCAAGACCTAATCCTGCTAGAACAAATGAAATATCAAGCAAGTAAGCCACTCATGGGTAGAAAAAAAGCTGGCCACATGGAAGACAGAAAAGAAGTGAGTTTTCATGGATTCCCTGGTAACATATATGAAAGAGACTGTGCGGAGCTTGGACATGATTGCAAAGAAAAGAAGCAACTAAATCTAGGGCAGTGATGGAGCTGAAAGGCTGTTCACAGACTAAGGAGAAGATGAATACCAGAGGACTTGGATCTCAGCTAAAGGGCAATATTCCAGAATTTTCAGTAAGTGGACCTTTTGAAAAACATGATCTTCTTCAAACACATTTTTTGTTTGAAAAATGAACTTTTGCCCAGTCATACTCTTGAATTATCAGAAGAAAATTTCCAGCTCAACCAATATAAAATTAATTTTTCCACACAGAAACATCCAGGGTCTGTTTGCTCTACTAAAATTGCAAATGGAATTCAATGCAGTGCAACAGGTTTGGCGTCTGCCATTTTTTCAAGCTCATACCTTTCACTGCTATTTTGTGGGGTAATGATGAAACTATTGGATTTAAAGATCTTCTCAATGACTCGTCACAAAATAAAGGAATGGGAAAACCACACTTGATGGTGGAATATACACTCAGTTTACTATAATGCAGTGTGCTGATCATAGAAGTGGAGGAGCTACATCTTGTTTACAGTCATCTTTTTACTATAATTTTATGTACACAACATTAAAAGTACTGGCACATGAGAATCGTTGCCTAAATAGTATCTGATCATTTTTAATTATTTGGGTCTTTGATTTATGGCCATGTGACAGTTGAAAATACTAGAGATGATGTTTAAACTCCTAATTTATATGTAAACAATAGCTTTTTATGTCTTTAAAACCTATTGCTAATGAATATTATAAAACTCACAATGGGTTCCAATTCAACCTATTTTCTAGGTAATCCATTAATTGAATTTTGAATAACCATTATCAGTATTTGAGTCTGCAGTCTTCATAGTAAGCTCTTTTAGAGTAAACATCTATAATTGACTTCAGTGGTAACACTTCAACTTAAGTACAAAATTAAATATTTATATTTTACCTTGTTTAGGTAATATTCGTACTTACATGAAAAATATTTGCTTTATTGGAGCTACTTTAGAAGTATAGCTATTCTTTGATCCTACTGGGGTTAAAAGCATAAGTTCAGAGTTTTTTTATTTTAGTCTTGCCTTTAATGTAAAAAAAATTAAATAAAGCAACCAGCAGATGTCAACTTAAAAAAAGGAAATTAATTCTGTATCTCTTGACTATATATGATGGATTTTCCAGAAAAATCCAAATAGAATATACTTATAACCTTTTAAATAATGTATAACTAAACATGATTTAAATTTCATCCATCAGGCTTTTCATAAATATAAATTACTGAATCAGAAAAAAAAGTTTTGTTAGATCATGTAAAACATAGTCAGCAGAGGAATATGGTATTTTGAAAAATCAAGAAGGAAATTGATATTATTTTCTAGGAAAGCTACCCCATAAGCTGAAAGCATTTTATATTTAAAGTAAATTTGAATAACAAACATCAGAGTAGACTACAACTTTAGTCTTTCTCATATATGTTAGCACATAAGTGCTCTTTTGAAGGAAATTAATGAGCCACAGAAGTAGAAGTCTTGGCATTTAGTAGTTTTTTTCTTCATTCAAGGTCAAGGTTCACTCACAGTTGCCTCCTCCCCCCACCCCATCTCTCCGTGGGTTTAAATGGTCATCTTGGAGACTATTTCTAATGATCAAGGAATAAAAAACTCTGACATAATGAAAATATATGTATAAAGAAATATTTAGTCCTGACCGGTGTGGCTCAGTTGATTGGAGTGTCATCCCGAGAATCAAAGGGTCAAGAGTTCAATTCCCGATCCGGTCACAAACCCAGGTTGTGGGTTCAATCCCCAGTCAGGGTGCATGCAGGAGGAAATTGATCGATGTTTATCTCTCATGTCAATCTCTCTCTCTCTCTCTCTCTCTCTCTCTCTCTCTCTCTCTCTCTTCTCTCTAAAATCAATTTTTTGAAAAAGAAATGTGTAACTGACCTCTTGAAAATCCTGCTCAAACTTCCATAGTTGCAGATACTGCTCCATTTTTAGTTGGTGTTTTTCCCAAAATTCATCAAAAGCAATTTCCATATCATGTACTTGAGTCAGCAATCTTAACAAAGAAAAGTCATAGAATTCCTTAAAAACAAAGGCTTGTTTTATAAGTAGGTAGATAAACTGGGTATGGACATTAAGAATTATAGGCAAAGTCACAGCCTATAACACTTGGTCCAAGTAAAGAACATCCCTGTCCACAGAACCTAGTCTGCAAGCAAATGAACTTCTGTGAGACAACTCAGGAATGAGTTCTTAAATTTCCAGAGATCCAGGAATACTTTAACACTTAACAGATTGCAGCAAAAATGCATAATTCTCTTTCAAAAGTATAAAATAAGTAACTCTATACCCAAAAGAAAGTACTCACTTATTCACAGTTTGCCAGTCACCACTTATTTGCTCATGATGTTCAAATCTTGAACTGATAGCTTCTTCAGGGTCAGGCACTTCCAGATTTGTTAGCAGAATTTTTCCTTCTTTGGTTACAGCTGTAATATCATTCTGTACAAAGGTACAATAGGGGATGTATCAAATACCTGCCAGTAACCTAATCTGAATAACCTGAAGAGAAGGAAGAATATATCTATAGCATGCAGAATAAATATAATAGTTTAGAATGGTCTTTGCTTTCATAACTGAAACCATCAAGGAATACCTCAGTACCACAGAATCCAAAAGCTGTGAGAATCTCCAAGAAGCCTCTGCCTGTTGAGATGGATGCTACAATCACTATTTCTATAAGATCTTTACAGGCAGAAGTACCCGATGCACTATTTGTAGCCTCCTTCTTTTATTGGTAGAGAGTTCTAAGTTATTCTATTCTGTTAATATTTTTAAAGTACTTCAATAAAACAATAATAGCATAATAAAGTGTACCACACTAGAAAGCATACAATTGCAAATAGTATTTATATATATTCAGATATTGTTAGGTAAATGCCTTTCCTACTAAAATTTAATTGTTGCCCATCACTGCCTGCCTTAAGTATTATGTCCACATTTGGATTAATTAATCTATCATGAAGCATATGCTTCTATTCAGAAGGTTTTAACCTTGGACGGTGGATTCTTCAGGCATGTAAGAGTAATAATGGCTTCCTTCAGGAGATCAAAAAATGGGGTGTACATGTATTTTTGTGGAAACATGTTCCATGACACCACCATCAATATGAATCTCTCTATATAAAAGCCTAATATGCAAAGTGTCCCCTCGGGAATTCGACTGACTGGGAGTTCGATCGCTCGCTATGATGTGTGCTGACCATGAGGGGGTGGCGCGGAATGAAGGAAGGCCCCAGCAGGCAGCCGGCAGCCACTAGGGACCCTACCCTTGCTTAAATTTTGTGCACTGGGCCTCTAATAAGAACATAAACATTAAGAGCTATTGCCAACTATGTGCCAAACACTGCAGTACATATATCATGTACTTCATTTCATTCTCACAACAGCTCTACAAAGTATGCATGTATCATCATCAACAACCTCACTGTACATATGAAAAAAACTGAAACTTTGAAAGGGTAAGCAAATTATCCAACACACAGCGTTTGAGAGACAGAGCATTCTTTCCTTGAACAGTTTTGCTTTTAGATTGTGATTCAAAATTTCACTTTCTCTCCTCTTCTTAATTTAAAAATGTCACCTCTAGCCCTGACCAGTTTGGCTCAGTGGATAGAGTATTGGCCTGTGGACTGAAGGGTCCCAGGTTCGATTCTGGTCGAGGGCATGTACCTTGGTTGCAGGCACATCCCCAGTAGGGAGTGTGCAGGAAGCAGCTGAATCGATGTTTCTCTCTCATCGATGTTTCTAACTTTCTATCCCTTCCTCTCTGTAAAAAAAACAATAAAATATATATTTTTAAAAATGTCACCTCTATATAGAGCTTGTACCTGTCAGTACCCCAGCTAGCCTATTATCATATGAAGAACATGAGTCTACATGGAAGCTTAGTGGTTATTCAGATCATTCATAAACTTTTTGGGAAAAGTGAATTTAAAGTATTTGGTGACTCAGAAACCTTCACAACCCAACACTCCAAACAACTGGGTAGGAGAGCTAAATCAACTTCTTAGTTATTGTAGAAAACATCAAGAACTAGTACTCTATGGAAGAGAAAGCTTGTAATTAATTTATCAATGTTTGGCTTAGTCCCAATGCTAATATATGGCAAAGTTGAGACTAGAAACCAGGCCTCCTGACTTCTCATCAGGTTCTCCATTTTACATCCTACCTGTGGCAAGGTGTGTGCCTATTGATACTCACTCTAACTTTCCAAACGAGAGTGCCTTTTCACAGGATAAAGAATATATAGTAACAAAAATGACGCAGAGCATTTATAAACTATTCAATTTACAAATAAACAACTTATCAAGAGAATACATCATTTACAAAAGGGACACTTACATTCAACATATCCAGGACATTCTCCTCTTATATTCTTATTTATATTAGTGTGCTTTATAATATATAAATATATCTTTTGTCTCCCTACCCACTAATCAGTGTGAAATGGACACATTGAACACCTCTCTAGAAAAAGACCATGGAAAACATTTGTTCATCTCCTCTATCAGACATACCTTTAACAGGTGATACTTTTCAGCACGAATTGCAAGAATTCCTTCTATTGAAGGAATATCTTCTGGTAGGTCTGTCTCAGCTAGCTCGGTTCCAAAGGATTGTAACATTTGAGCCATATCTTTCACAGTGAGGGCAAAATTTTCTATAGCCTGCAAAGAACCAGTGATTCTTTTAATTCTATGGAAACCCTGCCAGCATATCAAAAGCTGGGTCAGTAATTGTATTTACTTTTATTTAGGTATGAGAGCAAACGCATAAACTACAAACTCTCCTCTGCTAAGGAAAGTTGGCATTGCCCTTGACAATCAACTAACTTTGCATCTCAGCCTCCAAAATCTATAGTCAGGAGAAGAGTCTTCTTCAATGCCTTTTATCTAAATTTCTGTACTTATTTCTTAGACACCGATGAAAACTACTTCTTAAAGATGTCATGTACTGAGTAATTTGTTTTATGACCTTAAAAAATAGTGTTTTCCTTATTCTAGTAAACTCTGTAATTGTAAAATTACTTTATAATAGCTTTACTTCTGAAGATAGATGAGAATATCAAAGTCACTTTATATTTATTATAGTTTATGAACAAGTATTGGCATTCCAAGCAAGGTGATGGAATGAGGTGATGAGGGAACATCTACTCACAGCAATTCATTTCAGGTTCTACTGCCCTAAAATGTCAAGTAAGATTTTGTTATTTATTTTGTTTCCAAATCAATTACTCAGAGAAAAAAGGACAACATATAGAGACCATATAAATCCCCTGTTTACCACACAGCTCAAGGTATCTGCTTTTCTTATTTATAGCCTTTTCAGTAAAAGGCTAGCACTGCTAATTTTGACAATATACCTTCATATGAATGACTAGGACCATTGAATGAAGAATAAACGTGAGAAAAATAGAGCTCCGGTTTAATTAAACATCATTTAGTTACATCCTTCAGAAGGTTCCTGTGTTTCTGGGATTTGGAACAAAGATTCTTAGACCACAAACTCACCCCTGTGAGGTGCCAGGCCTTTGCCTATTTGTAAACTTCTAGAACAGAAGGAGACTTTGCTACAAATATAACTTCCTCAGGAGCACCATTAGGATGGTAAGATTAACAATATGATTTGCAGTTTTTAGTCCTCTCCCAAGGATATGTTTAGAGAGAAGGGAGGGAGGGAGCAGGAGAGAGAGACACAGACAAGCAGAGACAGAGACGTTGGATCGGTTGCCTCTGGTACACTCCCTGACTGAGGATCAAACCCACAACCTAGACATGTGCCCTGACTGGGAATCGAACCATTCCGGTGTACAGGACAATGCTCCAATCAACTGAGCCACCTGGCCAAGACATGATCTGCATTTTTTTGAGGGCTCACCGTATATCAGGTCCCATGCTAAACATTTTAATCTTCCCAATATCCCTATAAGTTAAAGTATTATTATTCCCATTTTACAACTGGGAAAACTGAGATTAAGAGAGGTTATATAACTTGGGCAAGGCGACACAGCTAAAAATCATCAGTGCTATGATTTGAATCTCAACCCTTTGTTTCTTCAAGTTACTAAATGGCCACAGAAGGGGTGAACAGAAGAAGATCTCCTTATTCCCTAGGCCTCTCCTTCAACTGCCATCCTCAGTGATTCTTCATCATTTCTAGGTATTTCCTATAGAAGAAAATCAAGATATTGACTTATATATGTTTTTTAAAAAATAGGAGCCCCCAGAAATCTGTTTTTCCCAAAGAGGAAAAGAACTCTAGCACTAGATTTAAAAGCTCACATGAACTATAGGCTCTACAGTAAGGGCAAAAGAAACATACATTTCTGAAGATGATCCATTCACTGTGGCAGTACTGCAAGGTGCCGCCTAACTCAGGGGTTAATTGCTTGTCATCAATGTATGTCAGCAAATCACTAACTGAGCTCAGCATAACAACCTATATAAATAAGCAAGAAAGATACTGTTAACTGCCTTTTGTGGCATCCCTCCATTCAACTGTATAATGAAATTTAGCCTTCAGTTAGAAGAAATTTATCTTTTATAAATGGTTCTAAAAATTCTCTCCTGTATAACCCCCACACATGTATGCAGCACTACCTTCTTCAGGTAATAAGTTTTCATTTACAAAACATTTATCTGTAAAGCAAAATTAATTTCCATAAAAACCCAAACACCTGATTCTCCTTGATCTAATGGTCAACTTTTTGGAAGACTGTTATGCCTACCACAAAGCAAAAGGACTTTATATAGTCAGTTATAATTTATCAAGAGAGACTAATCTTTGCAAAAGTATCAAAATTTATGAGCACCTTATTCCTAGCCCTAAAAACATATAAAAATATCTGTTATAAAAACAAATACATAACATTCTGAACTAGCTCAGGATGTAAGTTCATGGAAGTTTAAAAACATAAAACACATACTCATTATTTTCTAAAATGAAATGTCTTGATTTTATGCACACATACAGAGTGGGGCAAAAGTAGGTTTACTGTTGTTTGTATGAAAAATAATACAATAATTAATAAATAATACAATAATAAACTCTGTACTCATAACTGTAAGCCTACTTTTGCCCCACCCTGTATATGTAACACATGTGACATATATCTTTTTAAAAAGGAATTTCCTTATTAAAAATTCATTAATCTATTCTTTTAACAGTAGAAGCAGATGACTTTTAGGCTTTTTAAATTTACATTTTTGGAAGACAAATTCTATTTCTTTTAAATTATTCATGAGCACATATAAAACATCAACAGCATGGTACAATACCTTCATGAGAATAAAAGGAACAACACATTTTTAAAAACATACTCTTACCGGTAGTTTGAGCATGAAATCTTCCTGACTAAATCGAAATCCAATGTCTGTAAAAGTTCGTTGAAGAAAACTGGTTGGACGTAGAACCAATACCAAGTGTAAGTTCCCAGGGAAGGAAGCCTATAGAAAGAACACAGGAAAGAAAGAAAAAATTGTCAAAACATGTACTCAGCTGAGCACAAATCACTTAAAAGCCACTAAAAGGACAAACTTTAAAAATGGATGTTGATAAAATCTAAAAACATGCAAATAAAACCAATGTGAGGTCATCAGGTTCAGATCTTTGCAATGCTCAAGGCATGAAATTTTCTCACACTAAAGTAAGTCCCAAGTTACAAAGAATTAAACTCTTAAGCTTCATTTTAAAGTTAGTTATTTGTACTCAAATTGCATTTATTTCCTGTAAAGACAGAGTTAGGAGGCAGGTTCCTAGGGTAGCCCTAAAAGTCAAAGAAAGATGAAATACTGTACACTTGTAGTAAACAATAGAAGAAAAGTATATTATTAACTCAAATTTTTATTTACATTCAAGCAACATTCACTGACTATCTTCCATGTGTCCAACTCCGTGCATTTAAATGAATAAATATCAGGCACTATTAGCATTCTATGTGCACAAATTAATAAAATACAGTTCACACCCTTCTTGCAAGAAAATAACAATCTAATAGTGGAGTCCATTAATAACCATTAGCTCTATAGCATGATAAGTTGATAAGCAAAACAAGAGAATTAGAATAATATACAACAGGAAGTGGTACCACAGAGCATCCCACACCTAGTAATGTCAAGAAAGGTTTCTAAGCATAAGAAGGAATTAATGGGAACAACAGAATGTCATTCTGGTGCATCAAAGTTTTCCCAGCTTCTAGAATACTAACACAGAGTGGGTGGTCAAAAAAATAATTGCTAAACGAAACCACACAAAAGACAAGAAGGGAACGATGCAAAATTAGTGAGGGATGGACTAGTATAGAATGATAATAATAAACCACCACATATCAAATGCTTACTCAATGCCAAGTATTTCTGCCAGTATTATCATAGTTCCTCTTCATAATAATCATTTGAAGTAGTTAGGCTATCCTCTTTTACAAATAAAGAAAATGAGGTTCGGCCCTAACCGGTTTGGCTCAGTGGATAGAGCGTCGGCCTGTGGACTAAAGGGTCCCAGGTTCAATTCCGGTCAAGGGCATGTACCTTGGTTGCGGGCACATCCCCAGTAGGGGGTGTGCAGGAGGCAGCTGATCAATGTTTCTCTCTCATTGATGTTTTTAACTCTCTATCCCTACCCCTTCCTCTCTGTAAAAAATCAATAAAATATATTTTTTTAAAAATGAGGTTCAGAAACTTGACCCAGCTGGTGAAGCATTAATTTGCGCCTGAGTTTGTGCTTGTAATCACTATACTACCCCATTCATTCAAGAGGTTCCAATCAGAAAAGCTAGAGGAAAATGATGCTTGGGTGTAGCAATGGGAGAAGTGCTAAAAGGGTGCTAAAAGGATGGGCAGGAGCCAGGTCAGGAAAGACCTTGGGTTTTCTTCTGGAAGCAAGGGGAGACTTTAAGAGGTTTGCATTTTAGGGGGATCACTCTGGTTTGTGGACTGAATTTGAACAAGACTGAAAGCAGGTGAGCTAGGAAGCCAGGGATGAGGAATTCCTGAACTGGGGCAACAATAACAGGGATAGGGTAGAATTTGGGAGATATAATCTGCAAGACATGATGATTGAATGTGTCTGATAAGAAAGGAAAAACTAGGAAATCAGTCTCCAGATTTCTGGATGGTATAATCATCACTGATGTAAGGATCACAAGAGAAACCGGTTTTAAGAGGGGAATAATATACTGATTCCAGTTTATGGACATGTTGAGTTGGAGCCAACAGAACATCCAGATGATGTGCATCAGCAAATGCATGTATAAGGAAGGAGCAAAAGAAGTGCGGACTGGGAATGCAGAGTGGAATCTACCTGAAAACAACAGATTAAAGCCTAATAAAGCAACATATGTCAAGAATGTTTAAAATACAATAATATTTCAGGCATGTTGAAATATTAGTAATTAAACAAAACTATGAAACAAAACTTATTAAGATATTGTGGGGCAGAGGTAATGGGAACGCTATACTTTCTGCTCAGTTTGCTGTGAACCTAAACTTGCTCTAAAACAATCAAGTCTATTAAAAAAATAATTTTCACTGAGGTATAAGACCTAACCTCTTGGGAAAATGACATTTAAAACTGGAGATTTTAAAAATTCATTTTGAAGTGGTGATAAAACATAAAACAATTAAGTGGCAATAAGAACTAAAGGGAAAGAGAACTGAGTCTCATACAAGTAAGTAAAAGAGCACAAAATTAAATCAATAAATTAAACAATGATAATAAATAGACACAAATTGGGATGGCTGGCCAACTCTTAAGTCCTCCAGGTGGCCATGTCTCTGCTACCCTCTCCCTTCATGAGAAACTTCTTCCCCTCTGCTATATACTGAATGTTTATGTCTCCCCCAAATTCACATGCTGAAACAAGCCCCAAAGTGATGAAATTTGGAGGTGGGGACTTTGGGAGGTGATTAGGGCATGAGGCTGGAACCCTCATGAATGGGATTAGTATTCTTATAAAAGGGACCCCAAAGAGCCCAACAGGCATGGCTCAGTGGTTGAGCATGGACCTATGAACCAGGAGGACATGGTTCGATTCCCAGTCAGGGCATATGCCTGGGTTGCAGGTTTGATCCCCAGTGTGGGGCATGCAGGAGGCAGCCAATCAATGATACTCTCTCATCATCGATTTTCTATCTTTCCCTCCCTCTCCCTTCCTTTCTGAAATCAATAAAAATATTTAAAAGGGGACCCCAAAGAGATCCCTCACCCCTTCTGCCCATGTGGGGACACAGAGAAAAGACCTTTTATGAACCAGGAAGTGGGCTGTCACCAGACATAGAATCTGTACTTCCAGCCTCTAGAACAGTGGTTCTCAACCTTCCTAATGCCATGACCCTTTAATACAGCTCCTCATGTTGTGGTGACCCCCAACCATAAAATTATTTTTGTTGCTACTTCATAACTGTAATTTTGCTACTATAAACAATATGTAATTATATATGTGTTTTCCGATGGCCTTAGGCAAACCCTGTGAAAGGGTCGTTCGACCCCCAAAGGGTTGAGAACCGCTGCTCTAGAACAATGAGAAATGTCTACTTAAAAGCCACCCAGTCTATGGAATTCTGCTATAGCACCCCAAACAAACTCAAAAAGCCTATTACTATTCTCAATATTGGTTCCTAATAAAAACTGTTATCTTTCAACATGATCTTGCTCTTCCAATACACAATGATTAGTAGTGGGATGAAAATTTGATGTAAGCAGGACCAAAGTCCTATCCTAGGGTTTTTCAAATTAGTGTTGAGGAAAGGAAACTTTAAGAACTACTGGTACTCATGATTCCCACTGCTCAGGAAAGCTTATTTCAAAGTTCAAAGCCAACTTTTATAGAGAAACAGTAGATACAGAGAGTTCCAATGATAATGTACATTCTAAACTCTATTATGTGCATAATGTATGTTTTATTTTATGCTAAGAATGGTACACACTTGCCATAATTATTGTAAGAATTAAAATAGATAATGAATATAAAAGTTCTTTAAATTCAAGAAATTTAATAAGATAATTAATAAGACAAGGACAGGCAAGTTTTGGTAGAAATATACTGGAATATGGATAAAGTCTTCCTTAAGGAGAGATGCTGACAAGGGATTTGTGAGAATTCTGGGCCTATTTTTAGTTTGAGAACACTGATTCTATTTCTATCCCATTCACTTTAGGAGTTAAGCCTTCCCTTCTCCTTCACATGGGTAAATTACTAGTATTATTATTATACTTACCTGCTTTTATCCAGCTTATTTTTTCACATTTTAATGGAATTGAAAGTATCCTACTTTTGCCAACACTTAAAGCAAAATTATTTTTATTATTTCATGGATTCTAGGTTAATGTGGTTGCATCTTCTCTTTGACTTTCTTTAATGTCAAACCTATTCTCTGGTATTGAATAGGACATCTGTGGATGCAAGACATAGGGATGACCAACTTAAAGCCTAAAATCCTCACCCTCTTCCAAAATTGGGGTGGAGGATACTATGAGAACAGAGAAGGCCATCTGACAACCCTCTACCTGAGGTAAAACCCTGGTCTCTACTCTGCCATTCCTAGGAGAACAAGGCTGTGCCGGCAGCCAGGTCCAGGGACTGCTGATCACATAGCAGGGAACAAAGTACACAGAAGAGAGAAGGAACCACTGTCCACAAAAACCACAGGGAAGAGTTTCAGCGGGGTTTGGAAGTATGCACCTGCTCATAAGTCAAGGTTTAATGTCGACTGTTTATTAAATCAGTTATTGTTGCTATTTGATAAAGCAGTTTATCCCAAACATTGACAGCTGTGTAAAATGTTTCTAAAGGTAATTCTAATCAGATCATTCTTAAGTAAAACTTTCTGATTAGTTTATTATACAGCTTCTTTAATTCCTTCAAAATGTTTAGTGACTTAATTATCATAAAAAGTTGTATTTTCAAAGAAATCCAGATTTCTCTGTGAAACTCCCAAGATTTTTAAAGATGGGAAACAAATTGAAAGTTTGTTAAAACATTAATAAACACAAATAGTATATGATCTAAACAAAACACATCTATGGGCTACTAGTTTGTAAATTCTAAACTAAAGCTTCATCTATCTGAACATAGGCCAATATCAATATGTACACTTTTCTGAATGTGATCAGTGGCTGTGAGAATCTGGAGGAAATAGAGAAATCTTGAGAAATTTTAACCTGAAAGGCCATATGAATTCAAGATGTGTTTGCAGATAGATATAGAGAGACAGTATTTTTCCTCTATATTCAGATATTTACATAACTAAAAGCTTCAAGATAATCTATTTTAAAGCTAGTATTCAAATGAGCATTCAAAGCATGATCCTAATTCCAAAACCAGATAAAAACACTACAAATAAAATTACAGGCCAATATCTCTGATGAACATAGAAGCTAAAAATCCTATGTAAAATATTAACAAATCAGATCCAACAATGTATTAAAAAGATCATACACCATGACCAAG